TTCGCCTACTGAGCTGTCTTGCTGGCGCTTGTCTGCTCTCACAAATCATGTTACACTAAGAATTCTAATGAATGACTCTGAGGAAGAACCTAGAAACAGAGCAGCTGTGTATATATGGAAATTTTGTAAATGTCTGAGGTGGTTTTTCAAGTTAATGGGGAAGAAGTAAGATAATAAGTTGTATTTAAACAAATATAAACACTTTGAAAAAATAATTGGATCTAGTCGGGTGGCAGTGGTATACCTATAATCCAGGCCAGCATGGTCTACAGAGCAAGTTCAAGGACAGCCATGGCTACACAGAGAAACCGTGTCTCGAAAAACCAAAACTAAACAAACAGATTCACTTATTTCATTTTATGTGTATGACTGTTTTGCCTGCATGTATGTATGTGCACCATGTGTGTGCCTGGTACCTATGGAAATCAAGAGAGCATCTATCTGATACCCTTGAACTGGAGTTTCAGATGATTGTGAGCCATCATATGGGTGCTGGGAATTGAACTGGGTGCCTGCCAGAGTAACAAGTGCTCTTAACCATTAAGCTATCTCTCCAGCTCCATACTTTATTCTTAAGAATGGTCATGACTATTCAATATCATTTCATTCTTTCATTGCCTTTCATTGTTTTATTCTTTGATGTTAATTGTAGTATTAGTTTCTCCTAGTTGTAAGTTTTCCTGTGTCCTGCCCGGTCCCGTGACTGCTCAGACCCAAATAAATACACAGAGGCTTATGTTAATTACTAACTGTATGGCTATTAGCTCAGGCTTATTACCGACTAGCTCTTACACTTAATTTTTTTTTTTTTTTTTTTTTGTTTTTTCGAGACAGGGTTTCTCTGTGTAGCTTTGCGCCTTTCCTGGGACTCACTTGGTAGCCCAGGCTGGCCTCGAACTCACAGCGATCCGCCTGCCTCTGCCTCCCGAGTGCTGGAATTAAAGGCGCGCGCCACCACCGCCCGGCGCTCTTACACTTAAATTAACCCATAATTCTTATCTTAGCCACATGGCTTGGTACCTTTTCTCAGTTCTGTCTTGTCATCTTGCTTCCTCTGTATCTGGCTAGCTACTCCTGATCAGACCTTCCTCTTCCCAGAATTCTCCTTGTCTGCTCGCTCCACCTATACTTCCTGCCTGGCTACTGGCCAATCAGCGTTTTATTAAACCAGTGTACAAAGCATTATCCCACAACAATTTCTTAATTTCCACGGATAGCAGTTGCACACTATTTGACACATATTTGGTTGTTTTGGTAGAAGTTGTTTTGAATATGCAGATAAATCTGAGAAAAATGTACATGGATAATGTATTTTACTCTGCTATTTAGGGTGTCTCTAAAATCTTTCTGTATTAAATGTCTCTATTACTTCTATAATTCTTACACATCTTTTGTTTAGACTTCATCCCAAGTACTTTCAAATTTTTGTCGTAGGCCAGCAAGAGGATTCATTGGGTAAAGGCCCTTGTTGCCAAATCTACTGACTCGAGTTGGTCCCCAGAACCCACATGGCAGAAGAAGAGAATCAGCTTTTGCAAGTTGTGCTCAGACTGCCACATGTGCACTAGGGCATGCATACCCACTCCATGCACATCATACATGCATACATGCAATAAGTAAATAACTTTTTAAAAATTAATTTGTTGATTGCAAGGAATATTTTTAATTAAATTTTGAGTTGATTGTTAGTATATAAAAATGTAACTTATTTTTGTAAGCTTATCTTAAGTCTGACAACATTCCTAGAAATTTATCTACAGAGTAGTTTTCTAGATAGTTACACTGATGTATAATCATTTGTTTTCTCTTTTCTTTCTTTTTTACTTTTTATTTCTCTTAATTTGCTTTACTGTGCTTGTATTAAACAAAGTTGGATTTACTGTGGAGTTTTGTTAGATAACTGATCAAACAATAAGAATATTAATTGTCACAGTGCTAGATTCTATCAGGTGCTTTTTTTTTTTTTTCCCCCGAGACAGGGTTTCTCTGTGTAGCTTTGCGCCTTTCCTGGAACTCACTTGGTAGCCCAGGCTGGCCTCGAACTCACAGAGATCCGCCTGACTCAGCCTCCCGAGTGCTGGGATTAAAGGCATGCGCCACCACTGCCCGGCTATCAAGTGCTTTTTGTGGGCCATTATCTATAAAAATTATTACATGCTTTTCCTCTTTAAGGAAGGTTTATGTTAACATAGAATCTTTGGTTAATAGATATCATTTTATTTATAGTATATTGTTTAATTGAGTTTTTAAATGCTAAATATTAACTTTTTTCAAGATTAATTAGCTTATTTGTGAAAGAGAAAGAAGGAATGAAATATAAATGTAGGCTTATGAAATATTAGCTGGCACTGTGATACATGCCTATAATATCAGCTGGGGGGTGGGGCAGTTGGTCTCCATATAGCTCAGTGGATAGAATGCTTGCCTGGAATGCAGAGAGCCTTAAGATTAGTCCACAATACCAAATAAACCAGACACGGCCACTTATTAAGTGAGTCCATGAGAGTCTGTTAAAGGCTATTAGTGAATTTATTAAGATATAAAATGGGGGCCGGGCGGTGGTGGCGCACGCCTTTAATCCCAGCACTTGGGAGGCAGAGTCAGGTGGATCTCTGTGAGTTCGAGGCCAGCCTGGGCTACCAAGTGAGTCCCAGGAAAGGCACAAAGCTACACAGAGAAACCCTGTCTCGAAAAACCAAAAAAAAAAAAAAAAAGATATAAAATGGGGAGAAATACATTCACGGATACAAAATAAAGAAAACAGCCGTCATTGTCCTCTTTTCTGCCTGGAAGTCCATGGAACCAGCCTTCCAGGCTCCGACCACCCTAAGAGAGACCGAGTGCATGCCCCCTCCTCAGTTTTAAGCAGTCACATACCCAGAGAAAACCATGCCTCTATTGGGCCAGATACCCCAAGGTCATTGGCTGAGCAAATTCCCACAACACATGGGGGTGCAGGCCTGTGATCTAAGCTCTTGGGAAATGGAAATAAGATGATCAGAGAAGCTCAAGGTCATACATATATAGCAAGTGAGCCTAGCCTGGGCTATATGAGACCCTGTCTTAAAAACAAAACATCAACAAAAAAGTTTTAAAGGCCACAAAGGGGTTCCAATGATCTTTTATCATTAAAAGGTACTCTTACTTAAAACTGTGTTTGCTGATTTCAACCAATCCTTTTTTTTTTAAATTTTACATCCCAGCCTCAGTTTCCCCTTCCTCCTCTCCTCCATGGGAGACCTGTTCTTTCAACCGATCCTTTTTAAAGCTTTTTCACAGTTTAATTTTCATCTCAAATGTTCATGTTACTGTATGCAGTTTAGAAGATGGTAAACAATAAAATGGTTAGAAGTGTAACAGGAAAGTAGATATAATTGTAGTATGTTTGTATGGTAGTTTCAGCTGTGACTTGTGAAACAGTACACGTGACTGGTAGTATCTAGTGAGGAAAATCTACCTTTAGAATTAAAGGAAAGGTAAAAGAACATGTTATTCATGATACATTTCAAAATATTATGAAAAAAATATATCTTACTGGCATGTTTTTGGTTTTGTTGTTGTTGTTGTTTTGGTTTTGTTTTTTATTTTGGGTTTTTTTTTTGTTTTTGAGATGAGTCTCACTGTGTAGCCCTGGCTGGCCATGTAGAACTCAGAGTCACCACCTTCATCTTTGCTGGCATTTGCTTATGCACAAAAATATTCCCACAGTTTTTCAGTAAAAGAATGTAATGTGGGGCTGGAGAGATGGTTTAATGGTTAAGAGCATAGTCTTCCTGCCTGAGTTCCATCTTCAGGACCCACATTGGGCAACTCATAGCCACCTGTGACTCCAGCTACTGGGAGGTCAAACTCTGTTCTGTCCTCTGAGGTCACTGTACACTCACATGCAAGTACCCTCCCACAGACACATATACATGCATAATTTTTTAATCTTAAAAAAATAAGATTAAATGTAGTGGTATACACCTTTAATCCCAGCACTTAGGAGGCAAAAGGAGGTGAGTCTTTGTAAGATTGAGGCCAACCTGGGCTACATATTGAGTTCCAGACCGGCCAGTGCTACACAGTGAAACGCTGTCAGAAGAAGAAAAAGGAGGAGGAGGAGGAGGAGGAGGAGGAGGAGGAGGAGGAGGAGGAGGAGGAGGAAGAAGAAGAAGAAGAAGAAGAAGAAGAAGAAGAAGAAGAAGAAGAAGAAGAAGAGGAAGAGGAAGAAGAAGAAGAAATGTATGGTCTACTAACTATCTTGTAGTCCCAAAATCCAGAGATAAGAAACCATTTAAAATAACTGTGCTGCTTAATACACAGGTGGTTAAACCCCCAGCTGTTGCTCAGGACCACATGGCAGATACCTCTGGTATGACCTGTTGCTTGGGTTTAATACTGTAATACTGGGGGCTGGAAAAATGGCTCAGCGGTTAAGAGCACTGGCTGTTCTTCTAGAGGTCCTGAGTTCAATTCCCAGCATCCACATGGTGGCTCACAACCTTCCATAATGAGATCTGGTGCCCTCTTCTGGCATGTAGGCACAACACTGTATACATATTAAATAAATAAATAAATAAATAAATCTTTAAAAAAAATACTGTAATACTGTCTTCTTAAGTCCTTACAAGATAATGGACACTTTCTCTAGAAGAAACTGTAGCATGGGAGCATAGGAAGCCTTGTTTAAGAAATAATCCACACTCTTCTCTGCTAAAGGACCCAGGCATTCTTTGGCTTCATAAGTTCTTGGCTCATAGAACACTTCACTGTGAAAATAGTTACGCATGGTGAAAGAGATTATAAAAACTATAGTATTTGACCTTTCTATTCTTATACCTCAGAAATCAAATTGCTTCATTTTGGAAAACACACACATGTGTGTGTTGGGGGGTATAATGTATATTATATGTACTGACATGAGGGATCATTTTAACTGTACATGGTTAATTATGGAAACTTACAATGAAGTTTCTGGATTTTTAATATTAATTTATACTATTTGTGTTTTTTCTTAGTTTCTGCCACTGCCTTCTACAAAGCACAGCCTGTAATTCAATTCATGTGTGAAGTTCTTGACATTCATAACATTGATGAGCAACCCAGACCTCTGACTGATTCTCATCGGGTAAAATTCACTAAGGAGATAAAAGGTGAGTTCATTAGCATTTAGAATACTATACTTTCTGACATCATTCCTATAGTTTGTTACTAATTAGCATTTAAAACAGCTTGACTATAAAATGCATGGTAAGACAACTTTCTATTCAAGTGTCTATCATTAGGATCAATCTGTGTGATATGCCTAATAAAATATAGAATAATTATAAAATGTCACATCAGATCCATTACTGTAGCCTCTTAGGTAGTGGCTGAATGAAGAATATGCTAAGTAGACCAGCTACATTTCTGTTTTTGTGAATACTGTCCCATACTAGCTGGAGAGATGAGTGTGTCTCATGGGAAAAAGTTTCTCTAATACTATCTTTTTAAAGTAAGAATCTTATCTTTAAAATATTGTTATGTTAGAATTTGACTCACTCTTTGAACATATTCTGATTAATGATCTCATTATTTTTCTAAAATTACAGTTTTTTAAAATCTTATTTCTTTGGAATTGTAGAATATAGAGTTCACTTGTTTCATGTGTTATTCTAGACTTGTACCTAGCTATGTAATGTACATTATAGAGGTACCTATCTTACTTAGCTAAAATTTTTACGGTGGTGTTACATCATATGCATTTAACTAAAAAAGTTATGTCTATGGTCCCTCAAGTTAAAACTACTTTAATAGTGTTCTGATATTATATTCTGTGCATATTTGCTCCTTCTGTATATTTTTAAATGCATTTACAGCTTTGTGTTCAAACTCACATGCACTGTGCTTTATTAGCAATTTTGGGGATTTTTAAAAAGCAATTTAATTGTGTACAATTCTTTTCTTATTTATGACTTCAGTATCTAATCCTCATGTAAGATGTAACTCCACTATATTTAGTGTAGTACACAGTTAAGAAGCAAAACAAGATAATATCTAGTAAGAAGTAACAAACTTTGTTTATATTAAATGTTACATCTTAAATAGACAGAAATAATTATGTTGTTTTATTTTAAGATTTTACCTATTTGTTGCAGATAATTTTCAGCTTGTGGTTTGAAGGAAGCATTCAAGTTTGTTCACTGAACATCTTTCAGTCCCCCAAACCAATTAGAGTAGGTGAATACATCCTGCTTGTTCCAGTTATCATTCATTATTTGCCATTCAGTAACAACAAAAAGAAGACAGTCATTGTAATAAAGCATTAAAAGGAAAGCCCTTCCTGTTTTGTTAATAAGCATCCATCTATCTCAAGTTATATAAGTGCCAAATTAAGAAACTGACTGTTTTCAACCATATCATTGTCCTTCCACAGTCTGTTTTAACTACAGTTAGCATTGTCAGGAGGTTAGTGCATTACCTACCATTATATATGTGATCATCTAAGTGCCATGGTTTCTAGTGGAGTTGCTGCTTAGTTACCACCTCTGATATCATGCCATCACTTACATTCTTTTGCGGTAACTATGCAATCAACTCATATCACCACTCTATCACAGAAAATACAAGATGTACAGAACAAGGATTCAACTGCTGCCCGAAGAGCATGGACTCGATCTTAACTTCAACTGCTCAGGGGCCCAAAGAAATGACTGAAAAATTGACTAGAAAGCATTATAAAGTTGATGTTATAGTGAAGGTAAAGCCAAGTTTATAGGTTAAATATTTATTGAAGCCAAACTTTTTGGTTGGATGGAGGGTTTGGGGAGGGACCTGGGCAGGGAATTATCTATTCCATTCTTTATAATTTTAACTTTTTGCTAGCCCCTGGATTTGGTCTAATTATTAGGTACCTATGATCTTAAATTTGGGGTAGAAAATCTGGGTTGTATCTAATTAATAAACCAGTATTTTTTTCCTCCATTCAAAGTCGAGAAGACCTTTTTGAAAAAGAGGAGTCTTTAAAGTACATCATGTATTCCTATCACAGGAACTCAAAAAAAAATAGAGTTTTGTGTTCAGTGATGTTTGGGTTTAAGTTTTAACTTACATAAGGAATTTGGTGATAGCTGCTAAATAGTGCCATAAATTCTGTCACTATTAATTTTACTATATTGATTGTATTCTAGTTAAAACTTACTTCCAACCAGTTAGTAATGGAGTGATTTTTTTTTTTGTCAGTAATTCTTGGAACGTACACAGCAGGAATATTGGGGAAATGAATGATAATTTTATACATATAAGAGCACTAATTTACTTTTAGTAAATATTTGTTTTATAAGGATGTAGAACCTTATTTATATAAAATACATTTTTACATAAAACTATATTTTTTAAATCATGAGGAAACCTTGAAAGTAAATAGTTAACTGGTTCAGATAACAGAAACTTATTTTATTGGTTTTTTTCCCCTAAACGTCATATTTTTACGTTGCTTGCTTCATATTATGGCTGTCTCCATAAGGCCTCCCTTTGTATTTTCTGGCCTCCTTCATAATAACATAATAAATATTTAAAACTTTAATTTTAGAAGTGTAGTTATAATGAAACATTACTTCTCAGTGATTTAATTTTTATTAAGAATACTTTAAAAGAAAAACCACTTACTATCCTAATTTGTGCTGATATAGCAAAAGAAAATAGCATTTACTGTGAGTGTGCTTTATGTTTGGTGCTATAGTTAATAGTTAGATAAGAAAAAAATTACACTGTGGTAGGGTTTCTCTTGGCATTTTGTACTGGATAATTCTTTGCTGAGTTGGGAGGTTTAATTCTGCACTTTCTAGACTGTTTGGAAGTGTCTAGCCTCTACTCACCAACTGCCAGTGATATCACCTAGTTAGTGTAAGAGTCACAGAAGTCTTCCTGGGGCAGGGAGTGTAGCTTAGTGGTGAAGCACTTGCCTAATGTGTGCCAAGGCCCTGGAATTGCTCACTGCAACACACACACACACACACACACACACACACACAGTTTCTCTAGGCATTACCCAATGTCCCAGGGTCAGAGGTAAGCAAAACCACATTCAGATGAGAAGCACTGCACTGTAGGAATTACAGATAGAAAAGTAAAATTACTTAAGTGTAATAACCATAATTTCTGTTGAGAAACTGAAACTTCTCCATTTGTACCCTTCTAGACTCACTCTTCAGAGCTAGACCAGACTTTAAAAATGGACCAGTTTTTCTGTGAAGAGTAGCTATTATATGACTATTTGTTGACTCCTGGCTTACTACATTGGCCAATATGGCAGCCAGGAGTTTGTGTAACTAACTTAATTAAAATTAAAGTTTCACTTTATCAGGCACATTAGCTGCATTTCCTGTAATCAGTAACACATTCCTAATGATTCCCATATTAGTACAAACATAAAACATCATCTCAGGACATTCTGTTTCTCCTGTTGGAAATGGTGGCTCACACCTTTGATCCCAGCACTAGGAAGGCAGAGGCAGGCGGATCTCTGTGAGTTCAAGGACAGCCTGGTCTACAGAGTGACTGCTGTTCTGCCCCCACTCCCCCCCAAAAAAAATAAAAATAAAAACAGGAAACTTCCTGAAGATTGTCAGCTGAGATGCCAGGCATGGGGGTACACCCCTGTAACCCCACGAACTCAGAAGGCTGAGGAAGGAAGGTAAATCCAAGGCCAATGTGGGCAACTCAGCAAGACCTTGTCTTAAAAACAAAATGAGAAGAGCGGAGGGTGCAGCTCAGTGGCAGGGCACTTGCCTGATATGCACAAGGCCCTGAGCACCTCAAAAAAAGGTTTTCTTCTTCAGCCAAGGATTTAAAGCCCATTTCTTTCTAGCATTGTCCTGGAATCCTTGAATCACTGAAGTCCATAAATAAACTACAGACCTAGAAATATTTAAAATTACAGACTGGAGAAGTGGCTCAGTGGTTAAGAGCACTGGCTGCTCTTCCAGAGGACTTGGGTTCAATTCCCAGCACCCACATGGCAGCTCACAACTGTCTGTAACTCCAGTCCCAGGGGATCTGACACCATCACACTAATGCACATATAATTAAATAAATCTTTTAAAAAAAAAAAAGAATTATTTGGAGGATCCCCAGTGTGGTGGCACACACCTTTAATTCCAGTGCTCATGAGGCAAAGACAGATGGGTCTTTGTGAGTTCTAAGCCAGCCTGGTCTACATAGCAAGTTTCAGTACAGCCAGGGATACATAGAGAGGCCCTGTCTTGGCAAATTCACTTGCCACCAAGCTTGGCAGCCTGGGTTTCATCCCCAGAACCCACATAGTGGAAGAAAAAACCCAATTCCTGTGAACAGTCCTGCGACCTCCACGTTCATTTGTGCATGAACATACACATACACACATACATGCACACACACACACACACAAAATAAAGATCTTTAAGAGTTAAGAATTATTTAGCTTCCATTCTAATTGCCACTATTGTTAAGAAAAAAATTAATAAATTAAGAGAAATACTTAATAAAAATGTCAGTCTAGTTCTGATAAAAGGACCAGGGTTTTTTTCCTGCCTGCTTCATAGATCTGTGAAGGACTTCCTTCTTGAACTTTGTGAAACTCTGATCTTCAGTCACTGTGTGATGAGGGGCTGTTTAAATACTTGGGCTCTTATTCCTGAGTTTATTGTAATGTTTTTTGTCTAGTGGAGCTGGAAACTTTGTCCCTTGATCTTTGGGCTTAGCAGATCATAGGATTTTCTTTTTTAACATATAGAGCTTGATAGAGTAAGAAAAATATTTGGCACTCAAAGGTCTGTCATTGGTATAACAATTCTTAGCAATGTCATATCTAAAACTCCCTGATATCACCTTGCTTGTGTCACAGATTTTCTGCCTGCTCAGAACTGAGGTTTCATAGTAGTGAACAGACTGGGTCAGTATTTTTCATGGGATTTCTGTAACCTTCATTTTTCTTGTTGGGAACAGGTCTGAAGGTTGAAGTGACTCATTGTGGAACAATGAGACGGAAATACCGTGTTTGTAATGTAACAAGAAGGCCTGCCAGCCATCAAACGTAAGGAAGCTGGTGTTTCCCCCAGCAGTGATGTGAGGCAGCTGACTCTAAGGAAGGGGTTGGTAGTTTGCTAGCTCACGATAGGATAAGAGTTGCTCATGCCAGCTCCTCTTTTTTCCAGCTTTCCTTTGCAGTTAGAAAATGGCCAAACTGTGGAGAGAACTGTAGCTCAGTATTTCAGAGAAAAGTACGCTCTTCAGCTGAAGTACCCTCACCTTCCCTGTCTGCAAGTGGGGCAGGAGCAGAAGCATACGTACCTGCCTCTAGAAGTAATGTCTTTACACTGCTTATGACTAGCTTCTGTTCATCTTTCTCTGTGCGCGTGCGCATGTGCGTGTGTGTGTGTGTGTGTGTGTGTGTGTGTGTGTGTGTGTGTGTGTGCGCGCGCGCGCGCGCGCGCGTTTATGGAGGCCAGAGGAGGACATCAGGAGTCTTCCTATATTGCTATCCATCCATTTTTTGAGATTTATGTAGGTCAGAGGAGGACATCAGGAGTCTTCCTATATTGCTGTTCATCCATTTTTTGAGATGAGGTCTCTCACTGAATCTGAACTTACTGTTTGAGCTGGATTAGCTGACCAGCGGACCCTCTAGGATCTGACTCTCCTGTTCCCCTCCCTCTCCTCCCAGCACTGAGGTTACAGGCATACACCACTAGGCCTTGCTTTTTACTTTGGTGCTAGGGATCTGAACTCAGGTCCCAATGCAGCAAGCACTTTATCCACAGAGTCATCTCCCTGGCCCTGTTCATCATTCTTCTAGGATCTTTTATGGCCTGTGATTTATCTGAGTCTCACATTTATTTTTGAATTTGAATGATTTTTAAATTCTAATTTTTGTTAAGACTTCATGGCCGCAGCAACTTGGGAAGGAAAGGGTTTATTTGCCTTATACTTCCACCTCACTGCTCATCATCAAAGGAAGTCAGGACAGGAACTCAAGCAGCAGGGCAGGAACCCGGAGGCAGGAGCTGATGCAGACGCCATGGAGGGGTGCTGCTTACTGGCTTGCTCCCCATGGCTTGTTCAGTCTGCTTTCTTATAGAACCCAGGACCTCCAGCCCAGGGATGGCACCACTCACAATGGGCTGGGCCCTCCCTCATCAATCACTAAGGCATTTTCTTAATTGAGGTTCCCTCCCCTGAGATGATTCTAGTTTGTGTAAAGTTGACATAAAACCAGCCAACCCAGTATGAAAAAAGTTCACCCATAGTTCTACCATTGTTAGCATTTTTGCTATGCTTCTTTCAGTCTTTTTATCCTGTTTGCCTTTTACCTAATTATAATCATGTGATCATGTGTACTTTGTTCTCTACTTTTTTACTTAACATGATAGTAAAAAGAAGTAGGTAAATAAGTAGATTTTAAAATTTTTATTTAACGTGTGATTGACATTGAGTGAATTCTAACAAAAATATATCCATTGTATGAATTGTTTTGTTTCCAGGTCTGTAATATTGTGGCTGGGCAACGGTGTATCAAGAAACTAACTGACAATCAGACTTCTACTATGATTAAGGCAACAGCAAGATCCGCACCAGACAGACAAGAGGAAATTAGCAGATTGGTTAGTACATAACTCTAGAAATAGGAATTTAAAGTCTATTAGGGTGAGCTACTCAAAAACAATGTCCTTACCAGCTGATACCACATTACCATTTCATGAACTGTCAGAACTAAAAGAGATCATAGAGCCAGGTATAGTGGCACACGCCTTTAGTCCCAGCACTTGGGAGGCAGAGGCAGGCAGCTCTCCGTGAGTTCATGGCTAGCCTGGTCTACAGAGTGAGTTCCAGCACAGCCAGAACTACACAGTGAGACCCTGTCTCAAGAAGAAGAGAAAGAGAGTTATCATGGTGTAATCTATGGTGTGGGAGAGGGGTAAACATTAGTAAGTTATATGAGAAGGGTTTGGTTCTTCTAATTTAACTCTAGACCATTTAAATCTAGGGAACAGACTCAACAGAACTGTTTTAATATAGTTAACTGAACCCCCACCTAAAAGAAGGGCAAAGGGGAAACATCCAAGTATTATAACAAGAAATACTAAAACTATAATATTAACAGTCAGTCTAGAATTTCTTAGCTACTAGTGTCAGACTGACAACTGTATACCTCATGCCTGTAATCCCAGCTCTCAGGAGACTGAGGCAGGGGGCTCATTCTAAATTTTGGGCCTTTCTGGGCTACATAGACAACCTTATCTACAAACATACAAACAACTGGGCCTTGTAATCCCAGCACTTGGGAGGCTAAGGCAGGAGGATTGCCATGAGTTGGAGGCCAACCCAGCCTAGACTACAGAGTAAGAACCTGTCTCAACAACAAACTGGTTTCAATAATTCAGGACTCCTCAAGTCTTGTAGAAGAGAGGGGCAGGATGCTAGTATCACTTGATAAAATTCACATTACTACTTCACATTGTATATATATTTCAAAACATCATGTTTTGCCCAATAAAAATACACAGTGGATTTTACAAGGCTCTTGGCAAACAAACAAACAATAACAAAAAACCTGTCTGCTGCTCCAGACCCCTCAACTGGTGTTCCAGGAAGGGGAACCATCAGGAACAAACTCCTGAACAATGTCACATCCTACCAGAATGTAAAATGCAAGCTTTTCCATTACATTGGCAACTTCTCCATCTCAAAAGCAAACCACAGTGATTACCATTGCAAAAGAAATACAGAGAAGGCTGGGAGTAATAGAGCATTCTTTAATCCCCGCACTTGGGAGGCAATGGCAAGGAAATCTCTGTGAGTTAAGGCCAGCCTGGTCTACATAGCAAGCCCCAGGATAGCCAGGACTACCTAGAGAGACCCTGTCTCCATGTCTTAGTTAGGGTTTCTGTTGCTATAAGGAAACACCATGATCACAGCAACTCTTACAAAGGAAGAACATTTAATTGGGTGGCTTACATTTTCAGAGGTATAGTCCATTATCATCATGGTGTGGCATGGTGGTGTGCAGATAGACATAGTGCTGGAGCTGAAACTCCTACATCTTGATAGGCAGGCAACAGGAAATGGTCTGTCTCACTGGCATGACTTGAGCATATATAAGATCTCAAAGCCTGCCTCTAACAAGACCACACCTACTCCAGCAAGGCTACACTTCCTAATAGTGCCACTCCCTATGGGGGCCATTTCTCTCAAAATAAGGAAAGAAGGAAAAAGAAGTACAGAGATGTCCTACTCATCAACCTGACCATTGCTGTCTGAGTTCTTCCATGAAATCCTGAGCACAGGGAAATAGGAAAGATAATCCCTGAGGAACTGAGGACAGCATACCCTCTAGGAGCTCAGTGACACTTCAGGCCTTTGTGTGGACTGCAGCCAGCAAACAGCAGCTTGTCCAATCCCAGTGATCCTGAGGAAACTTCCAAAACCAAGGCTGGGAGTACAGTCACCTCTTCATTTCTCAAGCACCCAGAAGCTCTGGGGAAAGAGACGGAGTTCACTATCAGGACCACATTTAGTCTCACTTGTCTTCCATTGGAATTGGGGATACTCAGAAGGGCAAAGATCTAGTGTCTCCTGTTCATATTACCCTTGAGGTGGTCATGCTCTAGCCCCTATGGAGGACTTCCGGAGTTAGCTATGAGTCCTGAAGCCAACAGACAGCACAGTCCCAGTTGACTAACTCTACTGATTCATTCTGGGACTTACCACTTCCCAACTCCAGGCACTTCTGTTATGTATTCACACAACAGATAAAATGACTGTCATTAAGAGAATGCAGCAACATAGGAAATGCTTATATTATACATTACGTGAAAACAATTATATTAGTGTACGGGACCTCAGAAATGATAAGGCAGACTTGTATCAACATGTTAAAAATGATGTTTCAGGGTAATACAATTATAAGGAACTTTTATTTGCTTTCTTTCTTTCTTTTTTTTTTTTTTTTTTTCCAAAACAGGGTTTCTCTGTGTAGCTTTGGCTGTCCTGGATATCACTCTGTGGACCACGCTGGCCTTGAACTCAGAGATTGACCTGCCTCTACCTACTGAGTTCTGGGATTAAAGGTGTATGCCACCACCACTTGGCTTATTTTCTTTCTTAGTTTTCTTTTTCTTTTGTTTTTGTTTTTGTTTTTGTTTTTGTTTTTGTTTTTCGAGACAGGGTTTCTCTGTGTAGCTTTGTGCCTTTCCTGGAACTCCCTCTGTAGACCAGGCTGGCCTCGAACTCACAGAGATCCGCCTGGCTCTGCCTCCCGAGTGCTGGGATTAAAGGCTTGCGCCACCACTGCCCGGCTAGTTTTCTTTTTCTAATTGTGATTTATTATCTTTGTGTGCATGTGTACATGTATATAGCTGGAAGTTTTCCTGTGTCCTGGCTGGCTGGTGGTGAGGACAAATCTCTCCCACTCACATCCCCCAAGTAAACACAGAGGTTTATATTAATTATAACTGCTTGGCCATTAGCTCAGGCTTATTACTGACTAGCTCTTACACTTAAATTAACCCATAATTCTTACCTATGTTTAGCCATGTGGCTTGGTACCTTTTCTCAGTTCTGCCTTGTCATCTTGCTTTCTCTGTGTCTGGCTGGCAACTCCTGACTCAGCCTTCCTCTTTCCAGAATTCTCCTCATCTGCTCACCCCGCCTATACTTCCTGCCTGGCTATCAGAGCAACACACATTCACAGCATACAGAACATCCCACGGCATGTGTATGTGTGTGGGCGTGCACATGTACATGTATGTGTGTGGGTGTGCGTGTGGGCCACAGCACGGCTGAAAAGGTCTGAGGAATCCGCTGAGGAAAAGATTGCTGAATCAGTTCTCTTCTTCCTCCATGTGGGTCCCAGGGATCAGGGGTTGAATTCAAGTCATCAAGCTTGGAGGCAGGAGCTTTACCCACGAAGCCTTCTTCTTTCCTGTTTTTCTATGAAGATCATGCATTACTTTTATGATAAAATATTTTAAAGTTAAGAATACACAATATTAAAAAAAAAGAATACACAATATTATCTGTTCATTTCTAAAAACTAAACTTAAGTAAATAAATAGATTGAGGCTGAAGAGATGGCCTGGTGGTTAAGAGTACTTTCTGCTTTGGGAGAGGACATGCATCAGGAGGCTCACACGCACCTGTGATTCTAGCATAGGGAATCTGACACTATCTTCTGGACTCCATGGACGGGCGCGCGCACGCGCACATGCGCACACACACACACGAATACACATAAATAAAAATATTTTTAAATAAACTGATAGGATACTCAAAATAGAGTGAGATTTTTTGGTTTGGTTTGGTTTGTTTTTAAGGAATACCTAGATCATATGTCACTCTCCCCTGAATATCATTTAAACTGTCTGAGCAAACAAGGTGGGGATCAGTAAATATGAATATATTCCCCAACAGTTTACTGGCACTTTCAGAATTTTTTTCCATACAGGGTTTTTCTATGCAACAGCCCTGGCTGTCCTGGAACTCACTCTGTAGACCAGGCTGGCCTTGAACTCACAGAGATCCTCCTGAGTGCTGGGATTAAAGACATGTGCCGCCACACCCAGCATTTGTTCAGGTTTTAATATTACTTTACACATTTTGTTTTTGAAACAGTGTCTGTTGTTTTATTAACCAAAAATTTAAAATAGTTTGATAATCATTTGTCAGATGCACAGTTGAGGGACTAAACATTGCCTAGCCTGCAAAAGGCCCTGGTTTCAATCCCCAGCATCATATAAAACCACTGTGGTAGCACATACCTGCATTCCACGTACTCGGGAAGCAGACACTGGAAGATTAGCTCAAGACCAGCTTCAGCCGGATAACAAGTTTGAGTTTCAGATCAGCCTTAGCTACATAAGCATGAAAAATAAGCACTGCATCTTATTGCCATGATAAAACACCATGACCAAAAGCAACTTGAGGAAAAAAGGGTTTATTTGGTTTACACTTCCACATCACTGTTCATCATCAAAGGAAGTCAGGACAGGAACTCAAGCAGGGCAGGAACCTGGAGGCAGGAGCTGATGCAGAGGCCATGGAGAGATGCTGCTTACTAGCCTACTTCTGGCTTGCACGCTTTCTTATAGAACCCAGGACCACCACCCCTCCTTCGTCAATCACTAAGAAAATGCTCTACAGCCCATTCTTATAGAAGTAATTGTGGTTCCCTCCTTTCAGATAACTCCAGCTTGTGTCAAGTTGGCAGAAACCTATCCAGCATACACTGTCCCTAGAGACCTTACAGATACCTGTCCCATGTACTTCAGTAGATGGCAGAGAGGAGAGAGGCCATGTCTGTGCTCAGTGTTCTGAACTAGGAACATTTGAGGTACGAGCAGCCTGACATTCTGTGGTGCCTATCAACTCACTGAAGCCCAGCTGTGGGACCACCTCTGTCCTAGTTGTTGGCTGGCCCGAGGCATCTGATGGCCTTGCACATGCTCACTATGGGGTAGAAGAGACTGTTGTGCACAGAGGAGGTTTCAGGAAGATGAGTGACTGAAGATGCTTTTCATGTGAGCCTTGGGCACAATGCCCAGCCATGCCAGGAAGAAACATGGCCCAGTTCAGTGCCCCAAGGCTAGCCTGGACAAGTGCAGATACAGCTCCAGGTCATGGGCCTCACAGGTGTGCCCACTGTCACCTGACCAAAAACCTGCTGAAGCACCTCCACAGGCTTCTGTTGGGGGAATCTAGGTTCTGGGCTGTTCCACACTTCTTGTTCTAGAAGCCTATATTTTTAAAGCTGTATTTTTCCAAAAAGTGTAGTAAGGCTATGTTTACCAAGGAACTGACTAGTAGTTAGGTCAGTGGTAGTGGTACTAGGGGCATGAAAGGCCCTCCAAGATTCCATTCAACACTCCCATCTGCCCAACTACATGTGGTCTTGGCCGTAATAATTACAGAAGAGGGAGAGAATTGGATGATGCACATATAGCAAATGTCCCAAATAAATCCGTTCATTCTCAAGACACAGAAACAAACAACAGATCAGAAAGCCTCTCAGGGCTGGAGAGATGGCCCAGCAGTTAAGCATTTGTTGATGTTGCAGGATGTTGCAAAGGACCCAGGTTTGGTTCGTAGCACCCACGTAGTGGCTCATAATTGGCTGTAACTCCAGTTCCAGGGATCCAACACTCTTCTGGCCTCTGCCAACACCAAGCATGCACAGAATGCTCATATATGTATACAGACTTTCACACAGACACAAAAAATTCTTCATTTTGTAAGCTAATAAAAATAACCCCTTTGCCTTATACTTCTATAAAAAGTGAATGGTAGTTATTACATCTCATCTAATTAGGAAAATAAAGGTTGATTCTCACCCTAAATTTTTGTCTAATTATATTAGAATATGGTTTCTTTTCTTTTGTTTTTTTGTTTTCTTGTTTTTCGAGACAGGGTTTCTCTGTGTAGCTTTGGAGCCTTTCCTGGATCTCACTCTGTAGATCAGGCTGGCCTCGAACTCACAGAGATCCGTCTGTCTCTGCCTCCCGAGTGCTGGGATTAAAGGCGTGTGCCACCACTGCCCAGCTCTATATTATGGTTTCTAAGTCTTGTAAACCCTGTAAGAGACAGTGACACCTCTGTCTGTACAACCTCTGTAACTAGCAGTTCTCCTTTATTACAGCTTAACTGTTCAGGAACGCAGAATCATGAAGTGGTTAAGAGAACAGGCTTCGGGTTAAAGGCTTGTTTTCCTCTCACTGTTTTAGCACCTAGTCATTTAACTTTACTAGCACAATTCGTGTCTCTGTAAAATGCAGATTATGAAAGATCTATGTGGACTAGAGAGATGGCTCAGTGGTTAAGAGTGCTGGCTGCTCTTCCAGAGGTCCTGAGTTCAATTCCCAGCAACCACGTGGAAGCTCACAGTCATCTGTAATAGGATCTGATGCCCTCTTCTGGCAAGCAGAGCACTCATACATGAAAGTGTAAATGTAATAATAATAATAATAATAATAATAATAAAAATCTATGTAGCTGAGTGGTGGTGGTGCACACAGCTTCAATCCCAGCACTCAGGAGGCAGAGGCAGGCAGATCTCTGAGTCTGAGGACAGCCTGGTCTACAGAGTCAATTCCAGGGCAGCTGAAAGAAAGAGGGGGGGGGGGGGGAGGGAGAAAGAAGGAAAACTATATATCATAAAGCATATGTGAAAAAAATGGTTAGGTACTTATCATCAAGCATGTTATATAGCAATGTGGTGATATCTTATTTGTCCTCTAACAAATAAAGCCTGCCTGGAGATCAGAGGAAAAAGCCAGCCAATATATTAAATATAGAGGTCAGGCAGTGGTAGCACATGCCTTTAATCCTAGCATTCAGGAGGCAGAGATTCATCCGATCTCTGTGAGTTCAAGGCCACACTGGGAACAGAACCAGGCATGGTGGCACATGCCTTTACTCCCAGCACTAGATAACCATAGAGGTCTGAAGGTCTATACAGACAGACAAGAAATGATAGAACTGGGCGGAAAGAGGAAGTAGGAAGGCAGGGCCCAGAAAGGTATATAGGCGTGAGTATACAGGAAGTAGCTCTCTCTTGAGCTGAGGATTTCCTAGAGGTAAGAATTTGTGGCTGGCTTGTTCTATTCCTCTGATCTCTCAGTTTTCACCCCAATATCTGGTTCCAGGCTTTTTATTTAATAAGACTGTTTAGCAATTCATGTTACATAGCAAATCTTCATTAATGCTATTTGTTATTCTTTATAACCTTATTACAGAAAGACATTAGCAGACACCAAAAGTGATTGACAGGTTTGAAGAAAAAGATTCATCACTGCCTAATTTAAAAAGTGGCTTTTCCTACTTATTGTCAGAAGATTGTGTTTAAGCATTTAAATTATACAGTTTTGTAAATAGACTTTTTACTCAGACTTGACACTGCCTTCTTTTTGTAAATTGTTGCCTTGAGGACAAGTAAAAATAGCCAGTAGCATGCCTTAGAGTAAGATATAACACTGACCAACTGTGTATTCTTTCTTTGACTATATGTAGGGATATGTTATGTAAAATTTATAATCTCTCAAAAGAAATAGCCGGGCGATGGTGGCACACACCTTTAATCCCAGCACTTGGAGGCAGAGCCAGGTGGATCTCTGTGAGTTCGAGGCCAGCCTGGTCTACAGAGCGAGATCCAGGACAGGCACCAAAACTACACAAAGAAACCCTGTCTCGGAAAAAAAAAAGAGAGAGAGAGAGAAACTCTGTCTTGAAAAAAACCACCAAAAAAAAAAAATTATAAGCTATAACTGATGCTGGCTTTTTTTAAATCTTTTTTTATAATTTCTCATTAAATAAATTTTTATATAACATAATATATCTGAAAATACTGAAGTAAAATGAAATATATTCATATAAATTATAAAGCAGGTAGTTAGAAAAAAGTTAAGTTTTTAATATTTACTGTCAAACTTTACATAAAACAAATTCTTACATTATGTTCCTAGATTCTTTATAATCAGAGGTTTTTTTGTTTTGGTTTTGACTAAGCTATGCCATCCAATCAGAGAGATTTTTAATTTTTGTTTTTGTTTGTTTGGGTTTGGTTTGGTTTGGTTTTCAAGACAGGGTTTCTCTGTGTAGCCCTGGCTGTCCTGAAACTAGCTCTATAGACCAGGCTGGCCTCAAACTTACAGAGATCTGCCTGCCTCTGCTTCCCAGAGGTGTTTCTCTCTCCTGAAATTGCTTAATTATTTAAAATTATCATTTTCATGGGTCACAAATAGTTAAAGTGTATTATTCAACCTAATATCTGTTTAAGTTTTGAATAAATTACCAAGGTGTTCACAGACTTCCCACAGTCACGACCCACAATCTGCAGGATAATATTCTGTGCTTTATAGTCAGGGCACCATTGATTCTCACTACAAACTGTATGGTTGGCGTAGTGAGAGAGAAAGAGGAGGTTCTAGCAAGTACAGCGAGAGGCTAAGGAAAGTCTGAGAATAATGACAGATCTTTTCTGTTGCTAGGTAAGAAGTGCAAATTATGAAACAGATCCGTTCGTCCAGGAGTTCCAATTTAAAGTGCGGGATGAAATGGCCCACGTAACGGGACGTGTACTTCCGGCACCGATGCTCCAGTATGGAGGACGGGTAAAGCCCATCAGCAGTGCTTTAATCTCATGTAGAATTTGCTAAGTCTGGAGAGAATGGTACTCTAAGTCTTGAACTTACTATCTGATTGTTCCAAGAATATGTTAGGTATTTTATTTGTTTCAAGGTGGATTTCTTTGCTTGAGTTTAGCATAATTTTTTACATGTACTTACTTATTATGAGGGGTGCACATGTGTGCCTCTGCACATGTGAAAGTCAGAGGGTAACTTGAGGAAGTCGGGTCCTCTCCTTCTACCATCTGAGTTCTTGTGTGTGGTGGGGGTGTCAAACTCAGTCATCAGGCTTGGGGACAAGCACCTGCCTTTACCTGCTGAACCATCTTGCTGGCCTCTTAGGTTTTAACCATATAAATAATATTGATTTAGAACAGTCAACTCCACATAGAGTATTAAGGATGTATCAGTTCAGCAATCTGAAATGCTTACTTGAGCTCACTGAAATGCATTGTCTGGTAAAGTTTTTGTTTTTCCATTGTGCTCTTTCTCTTACAGAACCGGACAGTGGCAACACCAAGCCACGGCGTGTGGGACATGCGAGGAAAACAGTTCCACACAGGAGTTGAAATCAAAATGTGGGCCATAGCTTGTTTTGCCACACAGAGGCAGTGCCGAGAAGAAATACTGAAGTAAGCTGCTGCATTGGTTTGGTTTGGGGACCTTGTGTGTTTGGAACTTTAAAACAATTTTTTTAATTTTTATTTTTTGGTGGCACTAAGAGTGAACCCAGGACCTTGTATATCTAATAGGCTGTATTGCTGAACTACACCCCTAGCCCTGAATTCCAATTTTCAGTTATTCATCTAATGTTCTAACAAATGTTGCCTCTATATGGAGTATATATAACCAATGAACCTTTAAAACTATTTCTTCCATCCAGCTGGGATGATCTATCATTCCAGTTACATGGGAGGCTGAGGCAGGAGAATCACAAGTTAGCAAGACCCAGTCTCAAAAATCATTTGTGTGTGTGTACATGTGCACCCCACATATGTGCAAGTACATGTGGGTGTGCATTGCAGAGGTTAGCCTAAGATGTCATTCATCAGGAATTATCTACTTCCTTTTTGACCAGGGCCTCTCATTGGCCTAGAACTCACTGAATTATTTAAGTGAAAAGGTTGATAAGGAAAGAAAAGATTTCATGCTGAAGTTTCAAAGATATACATTAAGAATGAATATTTTACTCTTGAAATTATAAAGCCTGGTGTTGTGGCGCACACCTTTAATCCCAGCACTCAGGAGGCAGAGGCAGGTGGATCTCTGAATTCAAGGCCAGCCTGGTCTACATAGCAAGTTCCAGGACAGCCAGGGCTACACAGAGAAACCTTGTCTCAAAAAACAAACAAGAAAGAAAGGAAGGAAGGAAGGAAGGAAGGAAGGAAGGAAGGAAGGAAGGAAGGAAGAAATTATACCTGAGACTTCAAAAATTATAGCCATTGGTTAAGATAAAAAGGCATTAACTTATAGGGTCTAGTAGCATCCTCAGTTTCAAACATCCAATGGGGGTCTTGTATGTGCGTATATATGTGTATACATGTATGTATGTGTTCATGTGCAGGTATGTGCATACTTGTTGAGGACAGAAATTGATTTCATGAGTCTTCCTAATCACCTTCCACCTTACCTTCTGAATCTAGAATTCATTAATTCAGTTAGGCTGGCTGGCCAACAAGCCACAGGGAGCCTCCCACCTCCACCTCCCCAGTGCCAACAGCACAGTCATGCACAGCAAACCTTTCACCAGCTGAACTGTCTCTCCAGCCCCACTAGGGACTCTGTACATAGCCCCAAAGGATTAAAGGAGATTACTCTAGGTGACTGGTCCTCTGTTGCCTTAACATTAGCGATCTGGTAACCTTATGTATGGAGCAAGCACACAACAATCTATACTTCATCCTCCCTTTTCATTCTTTCTTTTTTCTCTCCCTCCCTCCCTCCGTCCCTCCCTCCTTCCCTCCCTCCCTCCCTTCTTCCCTTTCTTTTTGTCTTTCCTGGTTTTTCAAGACAGGGTTTCTTTGTGTAGTCCTGGCTGTCTGGGATTCACTTTGCAGAGCAGGCTGGCCTCGAACTCACTGCCTCTGCCTCCCAAGTTCTGAAATTAAAGATGTGCACCACCATGCCCAGCTTCCATTTCTTTCTTAAACTTTTCATTACTGTGAGGTAAGTTTGCAGCTGGATGGAGATATAGCTCAGTGTAAAGTAAACACACACAGACCATGGTTTCAATCCTTAATACTACATATAGAAAAGATAAAGTATTTTGTACATTTTGATGTCTAGACAAAGGTCTTCTATTTTGTGGTTTCACCTTCTTTAGAGGTTTCACGGACCAACTTCGAAAGATTTCCAAGGATGCGGGAATGCCCATCCAAGGCCAGCCATGCTTCTGCAAGTACGCACAAGGTGCAGACAGTGTGGAGCCCATGTTCCGACATCTCAAGAACACCTACTCGGGACTGCAGCTCATCATCGTCATCCTGCCGGGGAAGACGCCAGTGTATGGTAAGGACATTTAAAATTTTTCAGGAGTGAGATTTTTAGCTCATTGCTAGAGCACTGGCCTGAGATGCACACAGACCTGGGTTTGATCTCTGGCACTGAAACAACAGAAATATTACGTTTTTTTTTTTTTTCCCTTCTCCTGCTTAACATTGCTTTTAGAGTTGGATAGCCTAAAATTTTCAAATACTAAAATATACTTATACCATTGTATTTTAAACCTCATATCATTACTTTAAGGCAAAACCTGTAAGCTTATTGTAGAAAAGGAGACTCTGAGAAGTGAGTTTTAGTACCTAAGATAGATATCACAAGCAGTGCTTAAGAGAAGAATTGTGTAATAAAATAGCCTTGATACCTTGAGTAGCAGGATAAGGTGGTAGGTTAGAAGCACAGAATTTTGGAGATAGACTATTTGCTCAGTGTTTCTGTGATGTGACGGAATTACCTAACTGGAGTAAGCTTTACTTTCCTTACCTGTTTTTTTTTTTTTTTTTTTTTTTTTTTTTTTTTTTTTTTAAGATTTATTTATTTATTATGTATGCAGTGAGTGTTCAGCCTGCAGGCCAGAAGAGGGCACCAGATCTCATTCTAGATGGTTGTGAGCCACCATGTGGTTGCTGGGAATTGAACTCAGGACCTCTGGAAGAACAGTCAGTGCTCTTAACCTCTGAGCCATCTCTCCAGCCCCCTTCCTTACCTGTTTAACTGAGATACTATAACAACCTTATAGGACTGTATACAAAATAAAGTTTCGTGAGAGTAATAAAATAAATGTAATTCCATGATTCATAGGAAAACATAGCTTATAAACCATTGAATGTAGTAAAATAATGTCACCTTAGAAATGACAGACGTGAGGTGGGACATAGTTCCATCAGGGTGAAGTGCTAGCTGTACAAGTGTGAGGACCTGACTTGATCCCCAAGAACCCACATAAGAAAAGTCAGGCGCAGCAGCATGCACCTGTAATCCCTGCACTGAGAGACAGAAACAGGAGTTTCTGGGCCAGCTGGCCAGCCAGGCTAGCCAATGGTTAGCTCCACATTCAGTGAGAGACCCTGTCTCCTAAAACAAAGGGAAGAGTGATTGAAGAAGACACCTTACACCAACTTCTGGCCTCCACCTTCAAATGCACACATGCATACACATGTGCACACACACACACACACATGCATATATGCACAAACACTTACACATACCCCCCCTAAAAAAAAGAAAGAGGAAGGAAGGGAGGGAGGGAGGAAATGGGGGCTGGAAGAATGACTTGGTGGTTAAAAGCACTTCCAGAAGACCCAGTTTCTATTCCCAGCACCCACATGGCAGCTACCAACTGTCTGTAACTCCAGTTCCAGGGGATCTAATGCCCTCGTCTGGTCTCTATAGAAATCAAGTTTACATGAGATGCAAAGACATCCATGCAGCCAAAACACTCACAGATACAGAATAAAAATAAATTTTAAAAAAAGAAAGGAAAAAAATGACAGAAGGGGCCTGAGGCTCAGTAGGCAAGTGCTTGGTTATGAGTTTGTTCCAACCATCACAAAAAGCAAAAAGAGATAGAAGAAATAACAGAGGAAATTGTTACATTTGGCCACATAAAAATTGAGATTTTGTGTATTGTTAATATATTAAAATTGAAATCAACAGAACACAGCAAATGGAAACAGTAAATACTAGCTTATCATTAGAAAAAATTTGAACATATTGGTTCAACAAAGGCAATTTTTTCTAGTCTTTTATTTTGTTTTAATTAATTAACTTTTGAGCTTTTCTTTAAAGACAGGGTTTCTAGCCCAGGCTGGCCTTGAACTCCCTATGTAGCTGAAGATAACCTGGATTTCTGATCCTCCTGCTTTTACCTCCCAAGTGCTGAGATTAGAGGAGGTGCACACTGTCATGCTCGGTTTATGTGATGCTGAGGACCGAAACCAGGGCCTCGTGCATGTTTGGCAAGCAGCTTACTAACTGAGCTGTATCACCAACCCTGCACATGTATTCTTAGTCTGTAATTCAGTGTTTCAAACTCAGAATACCTGTTCAAAAGAATTAGTTTATCTGTGGATATAACTTGGCCTAACATGCATGTGAACCTGGGTTCAGTGCCCAGCACAGAACAAAAGAAGCTACTCTGTATTGCTAATCACTAAAGTTTTAACTAGAGTAAGTCAGTTCTCTTAACAATGAAAATACCTATTCCCAAGAAAATTTGAATAAATATGCACTTACATACTGTTGGTGGGAAGCAAAGTATTTTCAAAGCCTCCAAACTGTTGACTGTTTTTTGTCTGTTTGTTTATACCTACATTACGTTCATCTCCCTGCAGCCTGGTCTCTGCACCACTTCCAATAGAGAATAGAAACAAGGTTGACAGCTGCTGAGGAATTGCACTCAAGGTTGACCTTCTCACACATGTGCACACACACCTGCACACACATGAACATGTAAACACATACACATGCATAAATTAAATAAATAAATACACTTTCTTAGAATAGCTTCAGATTTACAGAAGAATTGGGCAGACAGTCTAGGGAGTTCCCGTGCCATCTGCCCTTTGCATAGTTTTTCCTATACAGACAATTGTTGCACAAATCCTAATTGGTCTTAATGAAAACCCAGAACCAGATATCAGGGTGAAACCTGAAAGATCAGAGAAGCAGAGCTATGGAGTACACAGGGGTCCTGGGGACTTAGCTGTGTCTGGGATGGGATATCTAAGGGAAAAAAATCTATGTACACTATGTTCTTATGTCTGTTAACTTTATTCCTCTAAGACAAAATTCCATCAATACAGCTACAGCTCCGTCAGGCATTCAGGGCAGGAATAACTCTAGACACACCAAGCTCTTCATCCGTCTTCTTTATTTCTCTGGGATGAAATCCTGTTTCCATAGCTTCAGTCCCGTCCAGTTCCTGCTAACGACTAAACTCCTATGCTTCCAGCCTTGTCTTCGTCCTCTGTATCCTCTTTCTCCATCTCTACTCCTGGCACTCAGAAAACTCTACCCGAGATCTGCTCACCCTCTGCGGAACCTGTCTTCCTCCCTTCTCCATCGCCATGCCATTCTGTCCATTTCTACAGAAAATGCCTGCCCTGGGTATGCAGTTCAGGTTCTCTGCCTCCTCAGGAATGTTATTCTACCTCTCACCTTGATATATAAAAACCTCTTTTGTTCTTAGTCGGTTGCTCTGGAGAGCCGCTAGGCCTCAGGTCAGGGGGATGGTCTGAGCTTCATTAGCACAAGAAACAAAGCTATGTGTCTCCTGCCAGCTTGTCTTTGCTTACCTGACCTTACCCAGGTACTGGCTCCTGCAGGGAAGTTACCTAGAAGTTCAGCAGGTCTGAAAATATTTGTCCACGCAAGACTTTCATAGAAGACAGCTGAAATATTAAAGGCTGGGTAGCACCAAATATTCATAATAAATAGCTTGCTTCTTGACAGGACCATTGGCCGGTCAAAATACAGCTTTAATACACAGCTGAATCTCTATAATATATTCTTGTGGCCCACAAGAGAGAGCAAGCCACAGCCACCACCTCTTACCTCACCAACTCCTCAGCCTGAAAGAGCCCCAGTTCCTGTCCCCTCCCGCCTTATATTCCTTTCTCTGCTCTGCCCAGCCATATCACTTCCTGTCTCCACCTTCCTAGTGCTGAGATTAAAGTTGTGTGATTCCCAGGTGCTAGCATTAAAGGTGTGTGCCCCCACTGCCTGGCCTCTATGTTTAATCTAGCGGCTTGTTCTGTCCCATGGTCTTCAGGCAAATTATATTAGAGTACAACAAAATATCACCACAGACAATTAACCTTTTTCCTTAATGCAGTACATTTACCAAATCAACAGCATTCATATTGTTAAAAGTATTAATTATGAATATGATTACTGCATTGCCCGCAGTTTACATTAAAGCCCACTGTTGGTGTTGAAGAGCATAGTCTGGCAAGTATTTGTCTGTCCATCGTTCTAGCACCATACAGAAGAGTTGCCCTGTTGTTCAGTTCCTCTGTTCATCCTCCTCCCTCTGCAGTTCTTGAAACCACCACTTGTTTCTACTGTCACTCCATATTGTCACAAGGTGGAGTCGTTTGTATGTCGTTGTATGTGGTCATCTTTCTTTCCCTTTTTTTTTTTTTCAAGACAGGGTTTCTCTGTGTATCCCTGGCTGTCCTGGAACTTGCTCTGTAGACCAGGCTGACCTCAAACCTGGAGACCCCCTGCCTCTGCCTCTGAGTGCTGGAATTAAAGGTATATGCCACCATGCCTGACTAAAAGTATAAATCTTTAGATATATACTTTACAGATGCAAAAATAAACCAATAGAAAAATTCTAAGTTAATGCTTAAAATGTCCATGCATTTTACTAGCACTGTTTTAGTATTGGTATAATTTCAGGTACCCTATAATATACCATAATATATTTCAGGGTATCCTTCATAGCCTTATTGTCAGTGAGTGAATTTATTTTCAGGCGTCTTTTCTTTCTTTCTTTTTTTTTTTTTAAGATTTATTTATTTATTACAAATACAGTGTTCTGTCTGCATGTGTCTCTGCAAGCCAGAAGAGGGAGCCAGATCTCATTACAGATGGTTGTAAGCCATCATATGGGTGCTGGGAATTGAACTCAGGACCTCTGGAAGAACAGCTAGTGCTCTTAACCTCTGAGCCATCTCTCCAGCCCCACGTCTTCTTTTCTAACTGGGCCATTTGTGTTTGTTCCTTAGCGGAGGTGAAACGTGTAGGAGATACACTTTTGGGTATGGCCACACAGTGTGTGCAAGTCAAGAATGTAATAAAAACATCTCCTCAAACTCTCTCAAACTTGTGCCTAAAGATCAATGTTAAACTTGGAGGAATCAATAATATTCTTGTACCTCATCAAAGGTAAGCTATTCTATTTCATTCTTTTTTTTTTTTTCTACATAGGCCTAACTAACTACTATCAGATACTAGAGGCAACCTTACTGATTCTTCCCGTGAACTATATAGACAATTTAGCAAGGTAAAGAGATCGTTGGAGCTGGAGACATAACTGAATGGTTAAACACACCTTTCACCCCAGCACTCGGGAGGCAGAGGCAAGTGGATCTCTGTGAGTTTGAGGCCAGCCTGGTCTACAGAGCGAGTTCCAGGAGAGCTATAGTGAGTCTGTCTTGTTAAACAGGAGATGAGTTTCATAAATGAAGTAGAGAATTTAGCCAACATGTTCAAGAACTAAGAAATAGTCAATATTTTTTTAAATTTATAACCTTTATTTTATATGTATCTCTGTGCGCATGCACGTGCAGGGCCCATGGAGGCCGGAGAGAAGTGTTGGATCCCCAGGGCTGGAGTTACAGAGGGTTGTGAGCCACCATGTGCGATGCGAAGCGTTAAACCCCAGTTCTCTGGGCAAACAACTGCTGAGCCATCTCTCGGCCCGTTTTTTCATTTTAAAGGGTGAAGTTTTAAAATAAAAGGAAATGCTGGGGTTTTATAATTGTTAAATATATACTCAAATTTTATTCTTTGGGCCAGGGAATAGTAGATGCCTATAATCCCTGCCTAAAAATGTAAAATATACTAAAACTGAACATCAAAGGCTTGCTGATTCTTTTTGTCCTTAAGTCTCATAGACTTAAAATGTAAGTAATTTCTTTTAAATGAATGAAATTTAATGATATATTATGAAGAAACACATCATTTTTTTCCACATTACAGAGAATATTAGCATCAGTTGTCTTTTACAACCACAGTACCCCTGTTTAAAACATGAAAGTTCTCACAAGACATCAGAGAAATGTAACAGACTAGAGATTCATGAGTTAAGAGTTTCTCGGGATTCATGTGGTGGTGCACTCCTTTAATCCCAGGACTCGGGAGGCAGAGACAGGCGGATCTCTGTGAGTTCAAGGCCAGCCTGGTACACAGAGAAACCCTATTTTGAAAAAAAAAAAAAGAAGAGTTAGTGAGCAGTTGGGGGTCTGTGAAGGTCTGTTGTCTGTCGAGGGCGTCCTCTAGACTGCCAGTGGCTTGCAATTATATTGCAATCATGTGAAACAGATGAAACAAATGAAGTCTAACCCTTTAAAAAACTGTGTTTAAGACCTTCTGTGTTCCAGCAACCAGTGATCTTCCTGGGCGCAGATGTCACTCACCCACCTGCTGGTGATGGAAAGAAGCCCTCCATTGCTGCTGTGAGTCCCACCAGACGAGTCTGCCTTATCTAAAGTGCACACTAATAACAGTGCTTTGGTTCTGCATTTCAAAATCTGATATGTGATGTTCTTTTTTATTAATCTTCTGGGTGCCAGTGTTCTTGTTCTCAATCATGTCCTCCTCCGTTGCCCTCTGCAGTAGTGCTCCCTTCTCTAGCTGGGCCCTGTATTCTCCCAGTTAGTCTCCTTAGGTATATGAGATACAGATAAAATAAAATTTCAGACTTAGGCACCATGTATGCGAGAGAACATGTGGTGTCTGTCTTTCTTTTTTTTTTTTTTTTTTTTTTTGGTTTTTCGAGACAGGGTTTCTCTGTGTAGCTTTGCGCCTTTCCTGGGACTCACTTGGTAGCCCAGGCTGGCCTCGAACTCACAGAGATCCGCCTGGCTCTGCCTCCCGAGTGCTGGGATTAAAGGCGTGCGCCACCACCGCCCGGCGGTGTCTGTCTTTCTAAGACTGGCTTATTTTACTTAACGAAATGATTTCCATTGTATCCATTTTTCTGAACATACTGATTTCATGTTTTTATATCTGCATAAAATTCCATTGAGTGTACATGTACTACATTTTCTTTTTTATTACATTTATTTATTTATTTATTTATTTATTTATTTGGGGGAGGTGTATGTGAAGGTCAGAGGTCAGAGATAACTTGCAGAAGTTGGCTGTCTCCTTCCACCAAGCCTGACAATCTGAGTTCCATCCCGGGAACCCACCCTAACCCAGATTACTGGCCCCTGCACCCCATTTTATTTATCCATTCATCTGCTAATGAACATCTAAGCTGGTATGCTTTCCTAGCTGTTGTGAATAGTGCAGCCATAAACATGGAGGCACAAGGATCTTTGTGGTCTGTGTTGACTTTAAGTTCTTCAGGCGTGTACCCAAGAGCGGTATAACTACGCAGTATGGTAGTCCTAGTTTCAGTGTTTTGAAAAGCCTGTCAACTGCCTTCAGTTGTGGCTGCTCACATGTACCTCCCCACCAGTGATGGGTAAGGTCCTCCTTTAACACCTGTTGTGGGTGGCAGCCATTCTGACTGGGTGAGATGGGATCACAGCACTTTTTATTCTCATTTCCCTTAAGGTTGAGGACATTGAACCCCTTTCCAAGTTTGCTTATTGGCTTTGTCTCTCCTCTTTGTTATTACATTTATTTGTGCTACGGCACGCATGTGGAGATGGAGGACAACTTGAGGAGTTAATTCTCCTACCATGTAGGTCCTAGAGATCAAATCCAGGCTGCTGGGCTTGGCTGCAGGCGTCTTTGCCTGCTGAGCTCTCTCTCTGGCCCTGCGTTTCTTCTCTTCAGAACTGTCTGCTCACTTTATTGGCCCATTATTGCTTGGATGATTTGGTTTTTCTCTTTTAAGATCTCATTTTTATTTTATGTGTATGAGTGTTTTGCCTGCATGTGTGTCTGTGCACCAAATGTGGGCAGTCCCCACGGAGGCCAGAGGTCATTGGATCCCTGAAATGGGAGTTACAGACAGTTGTGAGCCACCATGTGGGTGCATGGAACTGAACCAGGGTCTTCTGCATGAACAGCCAATGCTCCTAACTGCTCAGCCATCTCTCCAGACCCTGACGTATACTTTGTTTTGTGGGGTGAGGGAGTAGTGTTTAATCTTTACAGTTCTTTAATGATTTTCTTGTAGCCAACTTTCATTATTGCCCTTTGGGTTTGAGAGTTTTTGCCAAAATCAGTCATTCTGGTGTTAGGGGTACAAGTTCCATATAATACACCTGTTAAATCCATTAACTTCCTTCAATCTCCTGTAACAGTTGTAATTTGCCTGCTTGTTCTTTCTATAACTGTGCAACCTCTGCCTCTCCATGTACACACACTCACATGTAGGAGAAGCATATACATGTGCCCAAACATGCAAAATATGGATATGCACACATATACACCACACACATGAAAATGAAAAAAGAAAAAAATGCTGCCTGATTGTTTTTGACCCTATTCTAGTCTTTTATTCTCTTCTCTACTGAGGATTGTCTAGTTTTTGTTACTTTTGAAGTAAATCATGATAAACAGTAAGACTACAATAAAATATATATGTAAATGAAGACAGCTTAGTTTTGATTATTTTAATTTTTTCTCACTTTTCCCAACTTAGGTTGTAGGTAGTATGGATGCCCATCCAAGCAGATACTGTGCCACAGTACGAGTTCAGAGACCTCGGCAGGAAATCATCCAGGACTTGGCCTCCATGGTCCGGGAACTGCTCATCCAATTTTATAAGTCAACCCGATTCAAACCTACTCGCATTATCTTTTATCGGGATGGTGTTTCAGAAGGACAATTTAGACAGGTTGGTTGCCTGGAATATATTTAGATCATAAATAAACCAAATACTATGTTTCTGATGTGCTATTGAGTTCTGAAGGTGAACACCTGAAATTAAAAGTTCCCAAAATCAAAGCTGACGCTTGGGTAGATCTTCCTTTTTAAAATGTTCCTATGGATGTGTAAGCCTTCACTGCTGTGCTCATAGTTAAAAATGAAGTGGAGAAGCATATTGAGCTGTGAAGTAAGTAATGTTAAGAAGTCCAGAGGCGGGGCTGGAGAGGTGGCTTAGTGGTTAAGAGTGCTTGCTGCTCTTGCAGAGGACCTGAGTTCAGTTCCTAGCACCCACATCAGATGGCTTACTACAACCTGTAACTCCAGGGCATCTGATGCCCTCTTCTGGCATCCAGGGCACCTGTAGTCATGTGCACAAACTCACACCACACACATACACATGACTTAAAATAAAATTGATCTAGCCAGGTGGTGATTACACATGTCTTTAATCCCAGCACTCAGGAGTCAGAGGCAGGAGGATCTCTCTGAGTTTAAGGCCAGCCTGGCCTACAGAGTGAGTTCCAGGACAGCTAGGGCTACACAGAGAAACCTCTTGTCTCGAAAAAAAACTAAAGATAAATGAATGAATTAAAATTGATCTTTAAGAATAAGTCATGAAGCTACACCATTATCTTTGGGATATGTAAAAGAAACAGCTGGCTATATTCAGTCTTTCTGTTGTATCTTCTCTAGGTGTTGTACTATGAGCTACTGGCAATTCGAGAAGCCTGTATCAGTTTGGAGAAAGACTATCAACCTGGAATAACCTACATTGTAGTTCAGAAGAGACATCACACACGACTGTTCTGTGCTGACAGAGCAGAAAGGGTGATTATATCTGTCATAATATATGTAGTTATAAGCCAAGCTCCGCCCCACCATCAGGCTTCCCCTTTCCATCTCTCCTTTCCTTTCTCACTGTTGGCCCTCTCCCTCCTTCCTTCTCTCCTTTTCTGTCTCTATCCCTTCTTCCTTCTTTCTTCCTCTCCTCCCTTTCTTTTTGTGGTGCTGGAAATCATACTCAGGGCCTCATGGCTATATACACTGGGCTGTATACCCAACCTAAGAACATTGCTGTTTAACTGATTTAATCTTCCCAAACACTATGCAGTTATTGTTATGTATAATAGTACATATTATATATAATGTCTATTATTATTGTCAGTATATTTTTATACCTATAAAACCTAACTTAGATGCAATGATGATGAATGTCCAGTGTTTAGTAATACCACTCATCCATTTGCTTACCTTTACTCATGCTCTAAATAATTCTAATAATGGCTGGGATGTAGCTTAATGGAGTGCTTAGATATAATGCACATTTCAGGCCATGGGTTCAGTTCCCAAAAATGAAAAGAAAATAGATGGGAGATTATTATAGTTGAGAAAACAGAGAGGTGAAATACCTTGTCCTACAGTATACACCTAGAGACTAGAACTGTGGTATGGACCCAGTATTCTGCTTCCTCTTTAAATAGGTTATAGCTTCTATATGGTATGTGTTGCTAATTTATTAGGTTCAAGGGTTTTTTGTTTTGTTTTGTTTATATTTATTTTTATTTTATGTGCATTGGTGTTTTGCCATGGGTGTCGGGTCCTCTGGAACTGGAGTTACAGACATTTATGAACTGCCATGTGGAGGCTGGGAATTGAACCTCGTTCCTCTGGAAGAGCAGTCAGTGCTCTTAACCACTTGTAGCAGGAATCTTAAAGAGTCTTATTAATAAAAACAAACCTGAGGCCAGTTATTGGGGTGAACACTGGAAGATCAGAGAGACAGAACAGCCCACAGCTAACCTCACCTGGCCAACTTCTCAGCTGGTCTTGTTTCCTCAGACTGGAAGCCTCTGAGTCCTCACCCAAAATGAATCTCAGCTGAACTGCTGCTCCAAAGCCAGAAAGCTTAACCAGCCAAATGCTTAACCAGGCCAAATGCTTCTAGTTTCTGGTCCTCACGCCTTATATACCTTTCTGCTTTCTACCACCACTCCCTGGAAGACTTGCTTTCTGGGATAAAGGCGTGAGTCACCATGCTTGGCTGTATCCTTGAACACATGGATTTCTGCCTCTGGAATGCTAGGATTAAAGGCATGTGCTACCACTGCCTATCCTTTATGTTTAATATTGTGGGTTCTGTCTCTGACCCCAGATAAGTTTATTAGCATGCACAATATTTGGGGGAATACAATACCGCAACCACTGAGCCACCTCTCCAGCCCCTTCTTTTTATTTATTTACTTATTTATTTTTATTTTATGTACATTGGTGTTTTGTGTTTTTTGTTTTTTGAGACAGGCTTTCTCTGTACATTGGTGTTTTGTGTTTTTTGTTTTTTGAGACAGGGTTTCTCTGTACAACAGTCCAAGGTGGTCTCAAACTCACTGAGATCTGCCTGCCTCTGCCTCCTGGGATTAAAGGCATGTGCCACCACCACCCAGCTTTAATCCCAGCACTTGGAAGTCAGAGACAGGTAGATAGATCTCTGTGAGTTTGAGGCCAGTCTGGTTTGCATAGCAAGTTCCAGGCCAACATGAACTACGTAATGAAACTCTGTCTCAAAAAAAAAAAAAAAAAAAAAAAAAAGCTTTTCATTATTAAACATCTTAGTCCATCAGAGAAAATCTCCTATAAAATATTAAGACTGATAGTATGGAATAAAAAGAATTGAGCCTTTATAATCATTTCATGTTTTAGTCCCAGCTCTGCCCTCATTGCCTGCTAGTAGGCAATTGTTTTTATATTTCTGAGCCTTGGCTTGCCCAAATAATACCTTACTTACAGGATTGTCGTCAAAATACAAAAATATTGTACCACCAGGTGGTGGTGGCACATGCCTTTAATCCCAGCACTCGGGAGGCAGAGCCAGGCGGATCTCTGTGAGTTCGAGGCCAGCCTAGTCTACAGAGCGAGTTTCAGGACAGGCTCCAAAGCTACACAGAGAAACCCTGTCTCGGAAAAAACAAAACAAAACAAAACAAAAGGAAGGGAGGGAGGGAAGGGAAGGGAAGTAAGGGGAGGAAGGGAGGGAGGGAGGAAAGAAAAGAAAGAAAGGAAGAAAGGAAGAAAGAAAGAAAATTTTTTAAAAAGACTAGGAACTAAGACTATGTGAGGTCTATACTTAATGCTTACTTAAGTAATATTTCAGGCTGAAAGTAGTAAAATGTGGGGGTCAGTTTATGTACTTGAACATTTTTAATGTACTTCTGATACATTTTTTAAACGTATCTTGTTGGTTTAAAATCTGGTCCACAAACATGTAGGTGGGGAGAAGTGGGAACATTCCCGCTGGAACTACAGTCGACACCGACATCACCCACCCGTACGAGTTTGACTTCTATCTCTGCAGCCATGCAGGCATCCAGGTAAGCCGACTCCTACCTCCAGTGTTTTCATTTAGAACTTCAGTTCTTATGTGGTTCTTTCAGAGCCTCAGCAAAAAGAGAAATAATATTTTCTCTGCATTACTAGTTATGTCCACATGTAACTTTTATTAAAGGAATTCCTTCCTTTTCCTCACTTTGAAAAGGAAATATTTTTATGAAAATAGCAGGATTAGCTTAATAGAATAAGTCTCCCTGCATTTGACCCTAGATTTAATGCAAAACTTAATAAAATTTTACTTATTTATATCAATTTTAAGGTTATTATACAAAATAATAGGTTTTATTATGGCATTTTCATACATATGTGTCATTTTGCTTGGTTACCATTCATTCTCTTCCCCTAACACCCCATCTCCAATTTCAGGTCACGTGTTTTCTGTTACCTTCTCTTTCTCTCCATCAATTGAGATCTCTTCCTCCCTTCTCATTATCTGCTTTCTAGTTTTATGATCTACACATACACATGTGTAAATAAACACATTTATATGTACATATACATATATGTACACATAATTTTAAATCTCGATTTCACATATAAAAGAAAATATCTGGTGTTATCTTTTTGAATCTGGCTTATTTTGCTTAACATAATGACTTCCAACATCATGATCTTACTTTATGACTCCAAACAGTTCCACTGCATACTGGATATGGTGGCACAGGCTTATAATCTCAGCACTTAGGAGGTTAGGTAGGAGGATCAGGAGTTCAAAGCCAATCTTGGCTACATAGTGGGTGTGAGGCCAGCTGGAACTTCATGAAATCCTGTCAGAAACAAACAAACAAACAAACAAAAAACCCATATATGTACCACATCTTCCTTATCTATTCTCTGCCCATGGACATCCAGGCTAGTGCCGTTTCCTAGCTATACTCACTGCATCAGTAAACATGAGTGTATACAGTACACATACATACACATAGGCAAAACACTCATAAGTACAACATAAAATAAGTAAACTAAGATTCCTGCCCTGATTTTTTTTTCTTTTTTTTCTGCCCTGATTTCTTTAATGACCTACTGATCATTCAAGTGTGGACTGTTCATTCCCTGTGCATTTGTATAGTGTCTGTGGTTTTTCTTGCTATGGATTTCTAGTTTTGTTGCTCTATGATCTGAAAAGACAGAAGAAATTATTTCAAGTTTTTGTGCTTGGTAAGACTTGATTTGTGAACAATATATCAAATAAATAAATATCTTTAAAAAAAAAAAGCTAAAATCCAAACATGATGCTGCATACTCACAATCCTAGTACATGGAGGCTGAGGCAGGAGGATGTAAGTGGAAGTTTCTATCCTGCCAGCAACTCCCCAATACCCAGCAGCCACTTCCCAAATTACCACACAGAGGCTTATATCAATTATAAATGCTCAGCCAGTAACTCAGGCTTAATACTAACTAGCTCTCACACTTAAATTAACCTATAACTCTTATCTATGTTTAGCATGTGGCTTGATAACTTTTCTCAGTACAACATTCTCATCTTGCTTCCTCTGCATCCAGCTGGCAACTCCTGACTCTACCCTTCCTCTTCCCAGCATTCTTAGTTTGGTCACCCTGCCTGTACTTCCTGCCTGGCTACTGGCCAATCAACATTCTATTCAACCAACTTCGAGTGACAAATCTTTACAGTATACAAGAGGATTATTCCACAGCATTTCCACCTTTTTGTCTAATTAAAAAGGAAGGTTTTAACTTTAACATAGTAAGATTATATGCAACAAAAATAGTTATTAAGTAAGAATTATAGTAACATTATCTAATCTATTTGCATTTGGCAAAATTAGAGAAAATACTTAATTATCTGTCTTGATGAGTCTAAAGTTTTGTATCTAGTTTACTTTCTATTATATCTAAAGAAAACTATCATTATAACTATTTAGTGTTCAGCTCCATTAAAGACCTCAGAAGGGTAAAATGTTACCTAATGACAGGAACCTCAAGCTGCCTGGACAATCACCCAAAGTTCTTCTGCAACACTGGGGCATCCATCTTTAGCCTACAGGCCTAGCATATCTGATAGACTTACCCATGAAGCGGGATTTTTGAAGGACTGTCCCACTTTATCTTGGCAAAGTTCTGCAGTCGCTTTCTTTTGTGTCCTGTTTGTCCAATTTGTACAGAATACTGTCAGCAGTTGAGTCAAGGGTGCTTTCTTTGTCCACATGAATAGCTTTTGCCATAAAAAAAAACAAAAACATATGGAGTTTCATGAATGCCCATCATCCTCTTTGAAGTAATTGGTGCTGCCAGGAGCAGACATGTCTCACTATCAAGAAATGCCTAATTTCTTAAAACATTTTAAATGCCATATTCTATAGGTCTTTGAAGTGTTTGAAGATTACCTACCTATCTGAAATATATCTCTGTATGACTTTGAAAACCTGACTAACGTGACTGTAGCTGGAATGTTTCTCTTGGGATCCCGCCAAGCCCCCACAGTCCGCAGCCCACTTATAAAATAATTACTCAGAAGCTTGTATTACTTATAAACTGTATGGCCATGGCAGGCTTCTTGCTATCTGTTCTTATATCTTAATTAACCCATTTCTATTAATCTATAACTTGCCACGTGGCACGTGGCTTACCAGTACTTTACATGTTGCTTGTCCTGGTGATGGCTAGCAGCATCTCCTCCCCAGCCTTCCTGTTCCCAGAATTCTCTCTCTTTGTCTCGCCTATACTTCCTGCCTGGCTACTGGCCAATCAACACTTTATTTATTAACCAATCAGAGCAACACATTCACAGCATAGAGAACATCTCACAGCACATGACTATAAGTTTGCTATTATAGATGACTATTAATCTGTATTTCTTAATTATATATTACATTTTTAAATGAGCTGCATAAACATAATACCCTAAACAGAGTAGAAATATACATATAGTATAACAAAATTAACTTTAAATTTGTATCAATAAATCAAAATCCATACCAATGTAAAATATGTAAGTTTAATAGTTGAGGTTTTTTTTATTAAAGTAGATTCAATAATCTACCCTTTTATCCTATCATTTCTATATCCTCCCTTTTTCTCTTCAGAACAAGATCCCTGAATCTAATCTCCTTTCTTTAGCTTTTTTCATGACCATTATCCATAACAACTTGTAACCAACCCCCCTAAACGTTGACAAACATTTATAATTTATTTTTGGCAATGTGGATGTAGTTCTCAAGACTGCTTCCTGCTGATTGGGGGTGCTGGTAATCTTTGGGGGACCCTGAGAAAATTTAGGATTATGGTCAAGTTCTGACTGGAGTATTCTGTGAGGCTGTATCATCTCAGCTAGCAGCCTGGAAGCTGTTTTGAATGCTGGATCATCTGGGCCATTTTTACTGGTGTCTGGTCCCCTTGTTCTGAAAATATATAAACTTTTAAAGATAACATACATTTCTGAATTAATACAAATGTAAACTGTGCATTGTACATAAGCCAGTCAAAGATAATTTTTTATTTTATGTCTGAGCAGGTAAAAATATATGTTATGTGTCTTGTAGGTACTTTTAGGTTTATCTTTCCATGTCTGTAGTTAGGATTTCAGAGGGTCTTCCTCGATCAAACCTGATTTTTCTTAACCCAGTCTCTCATCTCCTGTGGAAATAAAAACACAACTCCTCCCCCAAAGTAACATATCTTTTGACTTAAATTTTGAAGTCAAGATATTTTATAATCAAATGTCCCTTAGCAGCTGTTGCTCCTTCCTCAGCAGTCACACAATTCAAAGACAACACAGTGACATACAGTGTCCAGACTCTCTGTGTATTTTCCATCTTTAGGTGGCCTTTTTTTTTTTATATTACTTTACTCTCTTTTTAAGGACTTTATTATTTTAAAACTATATCTCTTTTTTATGACTGTTTATACCTTCTCTTTTCGCTCCCAAGCCCATGTATATTTTTAAACTTTGAACCATTTAGAGGTTTGGGTTTTTTTTAATCTGAATCTGTCTTTACTGCATATCTCTTTTTCTGACCACATGGGCCTTTAAACTGCTAAACAGGAGTGGCTTAGTCAACTGGCTCTGCCCCATTCCTTGGTTCTGAGTGCCTAGCTTCATGGCAGAGGTACTGGTAGGAGCCATGTTTATCACCCCAACTCTAGGGAATTTCTAGATCCATGCTGCCACTGAAGTAGCGTGTTGCTGGCTGCTCATAAACACCATGTAAGTGCTTGGTAGTAGAGCCTCTTAAAAGAGCCACCCATTTTTGCCACTAATGCTGAGTCAGGAAGCTGTCTCTTAAAGGAGCCATGTCTGTGCTCACCACCAGCAAACAGTCCACCTGAGAAAAAGCGGTTACCAGGAAGCCAAGTTTGCCTTTGTTTTTGTGTGTTTAGAATCGTTTTTTAAGCTTTCTCAGGTTTTATATGGAAATTCTTTCCAAACATTTGGACACTACTTGTAGGCAGAAGTTTCTGTCCCACCAGCAACTTCAAATACCCAGCAGCCACTTCCCAAATTACCACACAGAGGCTTATGTTAATTATAATTACTCAGCCAGTAGCTCTGGTTTATTACTAACTAGCTCTTACACTTAAATTAACCCCTAATTCTTATGTTTAGCCACATGGCTTGGTACCTTTTCTCAGTGCAACATTCTCATATTGCTTCCTCTGCATCTGGCTGGCAGCTCCTGACTCCACCATTCCTCTTCCTAGTATTCTTAGTTTGGTTGTGCCACCTATATTTCCTGCCTGGCTACTGGCCAATCAACCTTTTATTAAACAAATTTGAGTGACAAATCTTTACAGTATACAAGAGGATTGTTCCATAGCAGGAGGACCATCTGAATTCAATGCAAACCCAAGCTACATAGCATGACCTCATCTCAAAAACCAAAAATAAGTAAAATATAGGCAGGGATATAGCTTAGTGCTGTGCCTGACATGTTCAAGACCTTGGGTTTAATCCCTAGCATTGGGAAAAGAGGGGAGGGGAAGGGGGCAGAGGACAAATGACAAAATCTCAAAGATGGAATAAAAATGCCAATAATCATGACAAAAATGTTTAATCTCACTAGCCACCAGAAGAATGCAAATTAAACCTACATTGAGATTCCATCTCACCCCAGTCAGAATGGCTGTCATTAAGAAAATAATGAACAGGCTGGAGATACCATTCAGATGATAGAATATTTGCCTGGCATGTAGAAAACACTAGGTTTAATCCCCAACACCCCATAAGCCATGAGCCTGTGCATGTCAGTAACACCAACACTCTGAAAGTGGAGGCAGAAGGGTAAGAAGTTCAGGGTGACCCTTGGCTACCTAGTGAGGTCAAGAACAATCTAGGATTCATAAGACCTTGTCTGGGGCAGGCAGGAAGGAAGAGGGAGAGAGAGAGCACAGCAGCAGATACTGGCAAAGAGAGACACAAAGAAACCATACATGCTGGTCTACAACACTATACACTAGTGCAGCCATCATAGAAATCAGTGTATGAAGAATCCTCAAAAAAATTAAAAATAGAACTACCACCCAGCACTACCACTCCTGGGTATTTACCGAAAGGACTCCAAGTCAGTGTACCAGAGACACTTAGACACCAGTGTTTACTGCATTTACTCTAGTCACAATAGCTGAGTTATGGAACTAACCTAGGTGTCCATCAATAATGGAATGGAAATAAAATCTGGAGTATATATACACAATGGAATTTTTCTCAGCCATAAAGAAAAAGTTATATTATTTACATGAAAATAGATGCAACTGGAAATACTCATGTTAAGCAAATTAAGTTTCAGAGAGAAAGCTATTGCATACCTTTTCTCATCTGTAGGTCCTCGATTTTATATGGAGGGGTTGGAAGGATGGCTCATAGGTTATGAGCACTGGCTGCTCTTCCAGAGGACCTGGGTTTGATTCCCAGCCCCCACCTGGTGACTAACACCCAGCTATAACTCCAGCTCTAGGAGGATCCAGTACTTTCTTCAGGCCTCCACAAGCTCCCATCATGCATGTGCTGCACAGGCGTGCAAGCAGGCTAAACATCCACACACATAAAATAAAGTGATAATAATAAACACATTTAGATTTTATATAGACACGTAAAACTATGAATGTGTATATGAGATGAAAGTAGATGTGAAACTGTCTGGGGACAGAGGGGGAAAGGAGGGGGTAAAGCAGGAGAAAGGGAAGGGGTACAAAGGGTGGGTTAGCATGCTTAAAGTAAGTTATATATGGCTGTGACAATGGTCTTCTGTAACGAAGTACATGTGCAACCAAGATACACCAATGAAAAATGTGCATTACTGTGGCACGAATCCTAATTGGGCTTATTAATAAAAACCCGGAGTCAGATATCAGGATGAAAGCTGAAAGATAGAGAAGCAGAGCAGCCAGCCACTAGAAAGACTTCTTACCTCTAGGAATCCTCAGACTGCAAGGAGCTCCTGTCTCCACCCCGCCTTATCACTTCCTGTTTCCTCCTCCCAAGTGCTGGGATTAAAGGTGTGTGCCACCACTGCCTGGCCTCTAGTGGCTAGCTCCGCACTCTGATCTCCAGGCAAGCTTTATTTGTTAGAGCAAAACAAAATATCACTACAAGTTATTACTGTGTATATATGTGAGTATTAATATGGCAGCAGGGTGTACATGCCATTGCACAAAATGTGGATCCTGTTCTCTCCATCCACCATTACATGGGATCTAACAATCAAACTAGGTCACCAGGCTTGTGCGGCAAACGCTTAGCCAGTGAGCCGTCTTGCCAGTTCACCAATGAAAACGTTGTAAAAAGAAGTTTAGAAATCAACAGACTAGACCATTTCTTCTCCATAGGGAACCAGCCGTCCGTCACACTATCATGTCTTGTGGGATGACAACTGCTTCACTGCAGATGAACTCCAGCTGCTGACTTACCAGCTCTGTCACACCTACGTACGCTGTACAAGATCCGTTTCTATCCCCGCACCAGCGTACTATGCTCACCTGGTGGCATTCAGAGCCAGATACCATCTTGTGGACAAGGAGCATGACAGGTAATAGAAAAGCATAAAGAGTGGGGATTCTCAGACCAAATCCAGTGCAGTCTGATTTCCTTAGGCCGTTTCTGTAAGCACCTCCACGTATGTCAGGACTGAAGTTCCACAGGCTGCCAGACAGCCAGTGTGCTGTGGGAAAAGTATGACAACTGATGGCTCAAAATAAGGTTTTCTGCAAAAACACTGTGTGCGTTTACTAATAATAGAGTGAGCTGGGGCTGCAGAGATCAATGGCTTAGCAGTTGGGAGCACTGACCGTTCCCCTAGACCTGGGACCTGGGTTCGAGTCCCAGCACCCACATGGTGACTCACAACTGTCTGTTATTACAGTTCCAGGGAAATTCATAGCACATGGCGCATGGGGGTGTGGAGGGGAATGTGCAGGCAAAATATCCAAACACATTAAAAATTAAATAAACCTTTAAAAAACATAGAATAATCTAGTAACTTAGTTGCTTCCCCAAATTACCCAAGGAAGATATTGTTAGAAATGTGTGTGTGTGTGTGTGTGTGTGTGTGTGTGTGTGTGTGTGTGTGTGCATATTAGACAAAAATGATATAATGTCTGGCATTATTTCTAATTAATCCTGAGAAAAATGAAAGAACCAAAGTAAAATTGGCCATATTGAAGCTAAATGATGGACACAAAGTTCATTATACCAGTTTCTCTTTGCTGGAATTTTTGGAATTTTCTACATGTACTGTTCTTCAGAATCATTACATGAGGACGGAAGGTTTATGCTGTGTTCATTAACCCTTCTCTTACAGTGCTGAGGGAAGCCACGTTTCAGGACAGAGCAATGGGCGGGATCCACAGGCTCTTGCCAAGGCTGTACAGATTCACCAAGATACCTTACGCACAATGTACTTCGCTTAACAAGTCCAAGTGTGTTCTCTGAGAGGAAGAGCTGAAAGACCAGTCAACATACAGTGTATATTTCAGTGGAGTCGGATCCCTGGGGACACTCCAGCCACACAGAAGCCAACACTGTGTAGGGTCTGGGCCTTTTGTTGATCCCAGGGATCTGTTCACTTTGTCGAGGAACGTAGTACCGTTGTGCACTAGGAACCAGCCAGCTGCTTTTTTGCAGTCTCCTGTAGGAAGCATCGCGGTTGTTTGTTTCCACTTCTTACTGTCTAACCCTTTAATGCCTTTACCTCAAGTCGCTTGGCAGCACAACTGTCTTTGCAAAAAAGTAAAGAAAACGTGAATGATGGTTAAAAAACGCAAGCCTACACAAATAATGATTGTTCAGTTATATGTGCAGAAAGAGTGATGTGCATTCATCTGTTCTTGTAAAGGAGTCTGTGTTTTACATACACACGTGTGTACTTCATGTGCGTATATATCTAGATCCAGATTAATGATATATATGTATCTGTGTGTCTATGTTCCAGTTCATTCCACTGGGGAACTTTCTTTTCCTTGTAGCCCTCCTTAGGCCACTGACATTTCTGTCACTCCCTACTCACCTTCAGCATCTACACTTTTGTCCTTATTGCTACAAATGACACTCACATGTTCTCATGTATGATTCTTTTGAAGTAAAGCATGGCAAACTAGATTTCTGTTCCTACTTTAGGTCCCCGACTCCTCACTCGTAGCTCATACACAGTTCTGAGTCCTCGGCTCCAGGGGCCGTGTTTGCGAGTGTCTGCTCCATCTTGCTCTGGACTTACCTTTGCCATGTGTGCACTGTGTATAGGAACAGTGGCAGCCTGAGTATTCCTTGCTGTAGTGAGTGTGGTAAAGCTGCTATAAATACAAAACCTTGTCAGAAGACTTTCTGATCAGTGACAAATGTTCTAAAGCCTCTGTTTGTATGAGTCATACCTGGAAATCCCTTAAAGCTTTTTTAAGGGTAAATATTTTAAAAATCTGAAACTCTGTAGGATGGAAAGAGAAAAGGAATTAGGGGTTTTTGTTTTTTGCTAGTTTACTTACTGCCCTCACACCTTAATGTGATTTTCATATATATTTTATATATGTGTATGTATATATATATAAACATATATGTATGTTGCAGTACAGCTCCTTTTGCTTTTATATTCAATAGAATAGTGCTTTAACAATTATAAACTGCATTGGCTACATCTTTTATAGAAATGTAATCATGTTTAAGGACAGACTAGTTTTGCTCTATTTAGTGCAATAAGCAGTTTGAAAGGAAAATTGTGTCTGTCGTCTTCACCACGGACCACAGGAAGAAGAGACACCTCTGTTATTTTAAAGGGGGCAAAGTAAGACAGCCTTAATGTCAGAAGGAGAGCTTCCTAATTTTCAGTTTTAAAGCATGTCCTTAAAAATCACAGTCAAGAAAGTAAAACCGACCAAAAGAGCCTCACTAGAGACCAGAAACACAGCTGCACTTCAGTTTTTAAAAATGACAGTGATAGCCAGGTGGTGGTGGCGCACACCTTTAATCCCAGCACTCGGGAGGCAGAGGCAGGCTGAGTTCTGCGTTCTGGGCTTCAGAGCAAGTTCCAGGACAGCCAAAGCTACACAGAGAAACCCTATCTCGGGAAAGAAAAAAAAAAAAAAAAAAGACAGTGAACAGCTTAAGATTTAAAATTTTTTAATTATTTAAAATAGATCTTGATTGTTGAAGAATTGTGCTTCTTTGACCAAAAGGAATCCAGAAAATACTGGATGATTTTTTTTCTATCTTTTAACCAATGTAACTTTCTCTTTAAAATTAAGGTGACGGTGACAAAGGAGTTTGGGACTTTGATCATTTAAAATTAGTTAAATTTCTGAAATATGGGGAAAATCTTTAAAAACGTATTTTTCTCCACTTCTTTAGTCAATAACTTTAGCTGATAACTTTAAGGCTGTCAAAGCTGAGTTTCCCAAAACGTCAGGGTTCAGGGAACTTTGTACTTTGTAACTCATGAAACTTGCCTTTGAGTTTTCTCTGTTCTTACCACGGCTGGTTCTGAGGACAGACACTGCAGATGTTTGCAGCTGGCACTGTCAGCCTTTCAGAACTCCATCTGCATGTGAGAAGTGATAAGTTTAGGTCTTCATTTTCGCTCTTACTTTCAATCCACTATTATTGCCAATTTACTGTATTTTGAGCCTAAAATCTGAGCCCGTGTCCTCCCCATAGGCATGAAATCTTTTGTCCTTCTGACAGAAAACTAAGAAAGTACTGTATTTTTTACTTTTATTGCTTTGAAGTATCTAAAATGCAATTCTCAATACTGTTTCAAAGCACTTTACAAAAGATATTTGTGTAGTTTGTACATTTTTTTTCCTTCCAAAATTCTTCCATCTCCTCCTTGACAAAAGAAAAATTCCTTAAAACATATTTGGGGTTGGTTTGTTTGCTTGCTTGTCTTGGAGACAAAGTTTCCCTGTATTGCCCATGCTGGCTTCCAGCACCTGAGCTCCAACATCATCTCACCTCAGCCTCCCTGGTAGCTGGGACCACAGTGTTCCTGCCATCATGCCTGGCTGTCTGATGAGATGGGCCAGAAAAGAGGCTAGTACAGCCTGTGTTTGTTCAGTATAAGTAAAACATCTTCCTTTGTCTGTGGCCCCTGCACTTACTCACGTGAGGAACTTTTGGGGAGCAGCATGGACACCCTGTCTTTTTCCTAACCTGTGATCTCACACTTGCCAGAGAGAAGCCCTTTAACTCTTATTTGGAAGGATTTTTTTAAGGGGAAGAATATTTTTTCTAAAATATAAGGTTTATCTTTTGAATGGTTTCTTTTTTAGAATGCCCTTACATTATTTAGTCTTGCTAGTTTAAGATAATTAACTTAGAAGAATATGTATAGTATATTTCTATTTTACCTACTAATAAATTGGTATACCAAACTTAATGCCAATAAACTTTGTGTTTAGAATTTTAAGGTAAAAGGCTTATGGAAAATACTTCTTAAAATTTAGAGTAATTATTTTTGCATCTCTGGATAGAATTCCTAATCGGTTTTCTTAAGTTCCTTTTTTAGTTTAAACATCATGAAACCATAGTAACTCTTCTTTTCTATCCCGACCCTTCTCACTGGTTGATGAATGCTGGCCTGCAGGTTTTTATGATATGTCTCATAAGACTGACTAAAATGTCAGCCTAAACAACTTGTGTAATTGGTTTCCCTCTGAAGAGTTGGGAATTTAATGTATGTTCTTGATGACAAATGTGTCTCTAGAATGTGCATGTTACATGTCTCTGTACTAGTGTCAAAGTACTGGCATTGAGACCATATGTTGATCATTCTGTAGCTGCTATATTTATTTAGATAGAGGCCGACATTTACTGCACTAAATCATAAGGAAATGTGCAAGATGCCAGGTATTGTCAGACCCTTTGGATTTTTTTAGATAAGTTTAGGGACACAAATTATGAAGGTAACAGCAGGTACTTGAAACAGCTCCATTTTAATTACAGAATGCCTTTGCTTTAGAAATGGAGTTTGTTTTTACATTGACAGTTCCTAGGGGGTACGTGAGTCTTCTCAGTCCTGGGCTTTGGCACATTTTCACAGAAATGTGGATACCTTTCATTTTATTAATAATTATCTTTTAACAAGTTTTCCAGGAAAAAAAGAGTGGAAATATCTCTTCTTTCCTTATGAACTATTAATTTACTTTTCTTCCTGAAGAGAATCTAGTAGGAATGTTCTGTGTGTTTCGGAAGGCACTTGATAAAGATTCATCTCTGTTCTAGCAGAGAGACTCCTTGCCTTCTAAAGACCCATACTAGTTTTCCAAGCCAGGCTCTCAGGGATCCCCACAGCTTAGTACTGACTTGCATGTTGTTCTGTGGATCTTAGGATAGCAGACTTGAGGTGTGTCTTGGGAAATAAGAAGCCAGCTGCTGTTGAGTTGAAATGGCTCCCAGATCTCAGTCAGGGCCAGTGGAAGCACTTGGAGGCCAGCAATAGACGTGAAGCCCAGAGAGACATCTTCCCCAAGCATGTGGTGGGGCTTTTCATATGCTTAATTTTTATGAAATTCAAGGAGCTAGCCACCTGGACACTAGTAGAATAGTTTGTTCCCTCTCTGTTTCAAACCTTGATAGTAATGTTTTGCCAAGAAGTTTAACTGATATCTCTATCATTTCTACTGGGTGTCATTAAACAGTTATATGTTCAATTGAGCCGGTTATAAGGTACACCTATAATCCTAGCCCCCAGGAGCATCAGGAGTTCAAGGCCAGCCTTAGCTACATGAGACCACGTCTCCAAACAAGAGCAAAAGGTCCATTTCCCTTACCCCTGTAGGTGCCCTCCTGTTGCAGAGAAAGGCTACTCTTACCAGTTCCCTGTAGTTTACGAGCCTCTTAGGAGTTAAGTGACTGTGTCAAAGACAGACAGTTCACTTGTCCAGCTTTCTTGACTCAGTCACTTTGTCCATGTGAAGTGTTAGTCCTTCTCATCCTTCTTGGGAATTTGTAGATATTTTTGAAGCTTTAATTAAAAATAGTCGAAGAGCTTTACATCAAGTGAGCTCATCCTGAGTGACGCTATACTCTGACTTAGAGGGTCTTTGTTTTCCTGTTTCTTCTCCACACAAGCATCTCTGTGGTTCTGTAAGAGTCAAAAACTAAGCCGGGCGGTGGTGGCGCACGCCTTTAATCCCAGCACTCGGGAGGCAGAGGCAGGTGGATCTCTGTGAGTTCGAGGCCAGCCTGGTCTACAGCGCGAGATCCAGGAAAGGCGCAAAGCTACACAGAGAAACCCTGTCTCGAAAAACCAAAAAAAAAAAAAGGGTCAAAAACTGGGGGCTGGAGAGATGGCTCAGCAGTTAAGAGCACTGGCTGCTCTTCCAGAGGACCAGGGTTCAATTCCGGTTCACAACTGTATGTGACTCCAGTTCCAGGAGATCTAACACCTGCCCCTCACACAGAATACATGCAGGCAAAACACCAGTGAAATAAGAATAAATAAATTATTTTTTAAAAAAAGAGTCAAAAACTAAGTCATAAATAAGTGTGTAAAAGTCAGTACAGAGGGCAGGAAAGTCAGTACAGAGGGCAGGAGATAACTCAGAAGGGAAAGGCACTCACCACCCAGAGGGAAAGCCTGAGTTCAGTTCTTGGGACCCAAATAGTGGAAAGAGATAACCAACTCCCATAAATTGTCCTCTGACCTCCATACGCATGCCATGACACGACTCATGTGGGCTCAAGCATGTGCACACTCACATACACACACACACACACACACACACACACACACACACACACACACAAAAAAAAAAATGTAATTTAATTTTTTTTTATTTTTAAGTCAGTATATAAATCAGGAAGATGACAGCTGGCCTTAGCATATGCCTGTGATCCTCACATTCCAGAGACTAAGGCCAGAGGATCTTGAGTTCAAGACCAACCTGGGCTACATAGAGTTTGAGGCCAGCCTAGGCTACATACCGATACTCTGTCCCCAACTCTGCCAAACCCAAAAGAAAAGGACAAGACAAAGAAATCAGAAAGAGAATTGTCTCTAAAAAATCTTGGCAATGAATGATATGATGCTGTGATTAATTAAACACAAGCTGAGTCCCAGGGGGAAGAAGGTAATCTATATACAAATAAAATATATCACAAAAGGAAAAAAATGTTTTTACTTTTTTTTCCTAGTTTCTAAAAATGTTACATTTAAGTTTAAATTTTCCCCTGTAAGTCAGCAGTTTTTAAATGGACAAGGATTCAGCTGATTATCCATGGCCAGTTGAAATTTACCTCACGCATCAAAAGGAGTGCCCTAGAGTTTTATATTATCAGTTAAATTTTAAGAATCTTGTGTTCTTAAATCCTAGAAGTTAATGACTTTAACTTGAGTGAAAGGATGGTTAGCTTCTGTATGGAGGATTGGATTGCCAATAGAAGACCCTGTTGAAGTTACAGGTAACAGTGTGACAAAATTAGGATCTTCTCAGATCGACCGGCCAGCCAGCCAGCCAGCCAGCTCCCTTCCTCTTTGAATCAATGTCCAAGGTCACCAGAATCTGCTATTGTTCTACATTAGGATCTCAGTAAAGAGACTTTTCAGGGTAGACACTGAATTTGATTTTTAAATCAAGATGGTTCTTAGAAAGTGCCTTTTCTGAAGATGGTGCTGTAGATTTTTATTTTTTAAACAGCATAAAACTAAAAAATTTTAAGATAATTTAGAATACCAAGAGTATGACAGTTTCATATAAATAATGTTATTTGTTGTCCTGAACTTGGTCTAGAGAACCAAGGGGCTTTTATGTAGTAATGTGTATAAGTTAATGCTCAGCAAATTGATTCTGTAAATTTGAACATATAGTTTTTAATTCTCAGCTATGTTTGAAGTAATCTATAATGTATATAAGGTAATAGATATAATAGTAAGTGCCCCAAGGCAAAGGCACCATGCCAGCACTGTGTGTTATGAGCTACTTTTCCTTTTTCGGGGTGGTCACCTCCTGACTAACCTTTTCTAATGACTCCTCATTAAGAAAGAACACTTAATAAAGGAAGAGCTACGTCACTGACATCAGTTTAAGACAGAAAGCAAAATGATTATAGCTCAGCCTTTAGGGAAATTTTGTTTTTTTAGACACCAGTGACTATTTTAAGTGATTCCAGTTTTTCCTGGGTGGGAGGACTGAAAAAATGAGAGGAAGAGGGCAAGGTCACGTGTTTAACAACAGACTACAGTCTGAGGGTATGTGACTGATTGGTAGGGTACATGCTCAGCACATAGACAGCCCTGGTTTAACAACAGACTACAGTCTGAGGGTATGTGACTGATTGGTAGGGTATGTGTTCAGCACATAGACAGCCCTGGTTTAACAACAGACTACAGTCTGAGGGTATGTGACTGATTGGTAGGGTACATGCTCAGCATATAGACAGCCCTGGTTTCATCCCTAGCACTAGGGGAAGAAAAAATGCAAATCTGGGCTGTGGTGGGGAATAAGTGAAGTGAGACCCATTTCTGTTAGAGAGCAGCTTGTCCTTATACCAAGAAGCAGTAAACAGCATAGATGGTCAGCTTAACCAATTCCTGCTCGTGAATTTAATGAGCGTTCCTCCAGAAGATAACTAGACTAACACAGAAAACAGCACACCTCAGTAACTTTGTATTGCTGCATTATGTAATGATAGTAAAATTATACTGTGTCTGTTTGTGCATTAAACTTTCTCATTTTTATAATGTCTTAATAGCAATTATTAGTTTATTTTTTAAGATTAATTTTTCTATTGTCATATTTATATTTATTGGCAATTTGTGTGCAACTTTTGTATTCTGCCCTAGATGTTGGATTTAAGGATTTTATTTTTATAGATATTTCTAGCTTTTCTCTTCCTTTGTAATAGTAGCAGAAATTAAGATGGTGTGTTAATATATAAACCAAACTACTAATTCTATAGAGTTTGGATTTTTACCAATAAACCATTAATGCTATTTTCTAATTTAGAATATTTAATATTTTATATAATGGGCATTAAGGACAGTTCTTAGGTGGCTTTCTGCATTTACTTCTCTGTAAGTTAGGTTCATTTGGAGAAAAGTAACACTAACCAACTGGACTCATTTCGCCTGATTGCACTTTGGAGGAAGTTGTCGAATAAATGATTGTTTGATTTTTTTTTTTAGCTTGAGGTACATTGCTCTCAATTGTGATTCATTTTTATAGTCAGGAAGACAAATAGAAAAAGATATACAAACCAGTGATAATTGACTTTGAAATGAGATTTCTCCTTCCCATAATTATTTGGAAGATTTGCTACCCTGAACTTGCCTAGAATAGTTTAAAGTTAACTTAACACTGAGTATCAGTGAAGAAAAAGAGTGTAGGTATTGGAAAGTGCAGGGATAGAATAACAGAGTATCTCAGCTAATTAAAATGTACCTAAGTAGGCCAGGAGTGGTGGTGTGTGGCTTTAATTGCAATACTCAAGAGGCAGAGACAGGCAGATCTCTGTAAATTCCAGGCCAGCCTTGGCTACTAAGTGAGTTCCAGGCCAGCCAGAGCTACATAGTGAGACCTTTTCTCCAAAAATACAAAAATCAACAACAAAGTTTTGACTGAGTAGTAACATGAGCTAATTGGAAAGCAGTGAAAAGCATAATTATAGAATATTAATTTCAAGTGAATATAATCACTGCAGTTTTTAGTGGATCAATATCATATTGACACATTAATTCCTTTAAATAAGTATAGGAGTAATATATATAATTCCTTTAAATAAGTATATGAGAAAGATGTATTCACTTAAGAAGGTAAAATATTTCCATTATATTGTTGCACTCTGAATTTGCTTGGTAAGGAATTTTTTTTTTCCTGTGAGAAATGGAAAGACAACTTCTATCCCTTCTTGAATTCTTAAATATCAAATTATTGAGGCTGAATGCATTTTTACTTCTCTCTCTGTATTCTGTTCTTCCCCCTGAGAGGGAGAAGAATGGAAAAGTTTTAAGTACTTGGAAATGGGAAAATATTTTTTCTAATATGTAAACACTTACACTGTAAAACGAATCAGAATGTGATTTCATGTAGACGTTAGCTGAATCATCTCTTTCTGAGTTTTTCCAGTTACATACTTTGCTGTATAATGTGCCTTCTGAACTTCTTCCTTCACCCCAGATTCAGTACCATTGACTCAGTGCCCTGGTCATGGGAGCTTATTAACTATCCGTAGAGACTGTTTCGAGGGGGTTGGTTTTGTCTTGTTGTCTCTTCTGCAAGTATAGACAGGCCCCTTGTGAGACTGCCCACTGTTGGTAACTTGAGTTTTCCTGAATGTCAGCGCTGTTCTAGGTAGACGGGCATACCATTCTTTTAGACTAATGTGTTTAAGGCTGTCAGGAAGCCAGCTTTCTTTGTTCTTTCGGAAAGCTCTTGGGTGCCTGAGCTTCCGTGGTGGGCTCCACATACCCAGATATCTGGCCTCTGTGCTGCGTTATCAGTGAAATACTGGATGGCTTGTTTTCACAGCCCACCTCTTCAGAACCAAGTATCCACTCAGTGAGGTGTAGATCATCTCACAAAGGAACCTTCAGAACAGTAAAAAAAAAAAAGTAAAAAGACAGGCAAGTGGGTCAGTAGCCATCTCTGTGCAAGGCTGTAATTTTGTTTGCAGTTTACACGCCTCCATCAGTGGCTGGAGATGTGGCTCATGCAGAAGAGTGCTTGCCTAGCATGCCTGAAGCTCTGGGTTCAATCCCCAGCGCCTCACAAACTGGGCTTGGCTGTACACGCCTGTAATCCCCGCACTCAGGAGAATCCATAAGCACCCATGAGGTTATCTTTGAGCGCGTCCTAGGTTGGAGACCATCCTAGGACGCTCATCACCAGCTGCCTCAGAGACTAGAGAGGGCAGTTACTCTGGTATTTCGTGCCTAAAGCTCTCATCTTCATGACTTTTGTTTGGAGAAACAAAACTCCCTGGAGTTGGCCATTGATAATCTTCAGCGCAGAGAAGGATTGGCTCAAATGTGTTTGTATGTGACTCCACCCTTGTTAAAAGGCCCTGTGAAGCCAGGAGACATGTATGAAGACACTGAGCAGTGAGGCTGTGAGAGGGAGTAGTGGATGGAAACGGAGAGGGGGAGTGTTTTCTTTGCTGGGATGCTAGAAACTGTATAATTAGTATTTTCCAAGTTCTCCAAACGACAGCTAATGGAGCAGTTGTTACTGTTTGACACAGATGTGAAGGAAGGGTTCATAATGGAGACCTGTATTAGCTACTTGTCTCAAACCCAGAGCTGCACCAGAGCTGCACCTGGTCTTGGCAAGTTCAAGTCTTAGAAGTCACCTCTGCATTATAGTGAGGGATCACATGAAGTGTTTATCCTCAAATAGAAGCCTGGTGTTGCTTTGGTGGCTCTCTCCTTAGAAAACACCAAGCTGGGTCTTTCCAGACTTTTCTGTAAGGATTTGGGAAAAACACTGGTGGATGGAAAGGAAGGAAGGAAGAATCTTGGCGTGGATGGTTTCACCTGCTTAATGCATCCGTGTTGGTCCCGGAGAGCAATAGGAAGCTTTGGTTTTTGTAGCAAAAAGACTTGCTCTCTAAAGATGGCTAGTTGTGAATACCTCCCATCAGTCAGGGAAGGATCTCATGTTGATGAGGACCTTGCAAACCCTCCTGTGTTCTTTCCTCACTCAGAAACTAGGAACACAGAGGGCTAGCAGTCTACTTCAGGGGTAAAGCGTACGCATCACAAGCACAAGCCTGCCCCTGCCCTGCCCCCTCCAAAACCCAACCACCAAAACAGCAAGCAGAAACTGGTGGAACCCTCTAGAATAGAGATTGAAAGTTTCCCAGGTGCCTTCTTAGCCTCAGGCACAACTTTTTCTCCTCTTTAAATAGGAAACAAAAAGTTCACAGGCAGTTTACTTAGGACTCTGCTGTGAGTAAATAATAGTCTTTAGAATGTCTGGGAAGCAGGACCATTTGCCAGGAGTTCCTGCTTGATCAAAAGACTGTTTTAGCCGGGCTGGTGGCACACACCTTTAATCCCTGCACACTGGGTCAGGGTGATCTCTGAGTTTGAAATCAGCCTGGATGATATCACAAGCTCCAGACCAAGAAAAAAAGTTCTGACTTATTTTGATACATGGCTTCTTAAATGTATTTTTTAATAGGTTGAACGGATTAATACTTCGACAACCCATTCCTCAACTTACATATTTATTTATTTCACTAAAGTTGTTATATAGATATATTTACCACATCTGACCTCTTGGTATGTAGACAATTCTATACAGAAAATAATTTTTTTAGGAACTAGAGAGAGAGGCTCAACTGTTAAGAGTACTTCCTGTTCTGTCAGAACCAAGACTGAACCCACACTGACAGCTCGCCAGTTCCTGAAACTCCAGCTCCAAGGGATCTGATGCCCCTGCCTGGCCTCAGTGGGCACATACACACCTAAATCAAACAACATAAATTACACACACACACACACGCCAGGCATGGGTCATACATTTGAGTTTCTGGTCAGCCTGGGCAATATAAGACCCTTTCTCTAAAAAAAATAAAATAGCCAGGCGGTGGTGGCGCACACCTTTAATCCCAGCACTTGGGAGGCAGAGGCAGGAGGATCTCTGTGAGTTCGAGGCCAGCCTGGGCTACAGAGTGAGTTCCAGGACAGGCGCAAAACTACACAGAGAAACCCTGTCTCGAAAAACTAACAATAAAATAAAATAAAAATAAAAAAATTCAACCCATCTGTAGTCAGGCCTAAGTTATAAAGGAGACATAAGGTGTTTTTAAATGTGACCTTTAAATGGTCACAACTAAAAGAAGACTGTTGAGCGATTATGTGTGCCTTTGAGAGTGGAAAGGGCTGTAGGACATGAGCCAGAGACTTGGGTGTGGCTCACACTAGCTCGGCCTCAGCCGTTTTCGGCCTCAGCCGTTTTCCTCCCTCTGCTGTCTCCCTGTAGTGAGGGTACCTGCCCTCACCTACCTCACCTAAGTTTTCTCGAGAATCAGTCTGTTTGTGAGTAATGTTTGACTTCCACAAAGGAAAAGCTATTCAGAAGTTCAGAATGTAGAGAAGGTTCTGAAGGTTCTTTCCGGTCGGTCTCTGTGAAAGTGTCTTCTTTATTTATGGCAGATCGTTTTATGAAACAGTATGAGAAGCGTGCTGGCATCGGCATAGTATGTGGTGTTCCAGTGTGTCTCGTTTCTTCCCTTCCAGACGTCCAGCGCGGGGGCACATTTTTTCTTTGTAACAACCCCTAGCAAAAAGGAAAGTTTTTAAAAACCGAATTCCTTTCGGTGGTGCTAAAGCGGTTACAGTTGCATTTTTAGTTCATGATGAAGCCCGTCGGCCCTCGGGTTTTAACCTGACCTGTCTCCAGGCACCTGTGCTTCGTTTGCATCCACCTCCGCTGCTGTTCCGTGCGGCTTACCCTGTGTCTCTCGGCACCCTTCCCTCGGAGAAGTGAGTAGAGTTCTCGGAAGGAAAGTGTGCTGATTTCACTTGTCGCTTTACAAAACTGAACTTTGCTTTACTTTAAAAATCCCAGTTGTCATTTATCTATAAAACATAAGCCAGCCACGGTGGTACACTCCTAGCCCCAGCGTGCAGGAGGCATCGGCAGGCAGATCACAAGTTTGAGGTATGTCAGGGTTACTTAGTGAGACCCTTTCCCAGAAGTCAGAGAGAGACTGGTTGTAGTGATACTGTATGTATGACCCGGGGACCTATGAGTGCTGACAGGGCCTTACATTTCAACAGGAAACCCATTTCCTTGTGAGATGGGGGCTCCTGTTTCTAGGAAATCACAAAGGGCTTATCGCCACAGGTATAAACGTTTCTTTTTGCAACAGACAAATTGGTTGCTTTTGTTTTTGTTTTTAAAGAAAAGTGGACGTATGTTAAATATACAGGGTACGGATGAACTCAATGTTTATTCTTATCTCTACTCTTACTGACCTCCCTGTTCTTGCAAGCATTTGGGGGCCTTTCCAACTTCTCGATTAGAAAGCTGGCATCTGGTTACTTTAATAGAACAATTAGAATTACAAGGTGAGACTTTGGGGAGCTTTATACTTAAAAATAAAAAAGCTGGGTGTGGTGAGTCACACCTGTAATCCCAGCACTTGGAAGGCAGAGGCAGGAAGATCATCCCAGATTCCAGGCCAGCCACGGCTATGTAGCAAGACCTTGTCTCAAAAACCAATGAATAAAAATGCCTATAGGATGCAGTGCCATAGCTAACACTGACACATCCGAACACTGTTCAAAGATTCTTACTGTACTGTGTAACTTTGATGGCTGTCTTAGTTATGGACCCATAAAAGTATTGCTGTATCTTAAGTAAATACCATTTGTGTGAACTAATATGTGGGTGCATTTGTAGGCTGTGGAAAACAGTGGTGTATGTGTGTGTGTGTGTATTATAAAAACCTCACAACCCTCTATGGATTAAGTGTAAATAGACAAAATAACTGTTGTCTCTTTCATGTTGGGAAGACTAAAATGGCAGTATGGCCATTCCATTGCAACCCTCCCCTCTCTCTGGATTCCCTTAGCAGTTAGTGACTAACTGCTCCTGCTTTAGACAATTGCTGCTGCTTTTAAACCAACATCCTTCTTCGACATTACTCTTTTCTGAGGAGTAAAATGTACATTATAGGACATGTGGGCAGGGTGGAGCCACCTGCAAAATGTCCTCCATGTGGATAGCCTTTTAAATTTGACCTTTGAATCACCTAGACCATGTGTGCCTATTTGTATTGCAGACGTGAACTTCTGTTTCAGGGTTAATAACAGAACGTTTTGAAATGGAAATATTACATAAATTCAGAGTAATCTCTCCCACCCTCTTCTCATACTCCCTGCTCTGGCCAAATATTTCTACTGACACCAGAGCAAAGCCCAGGATGGGGCTCTGACCTCCTTCCTCATCATCCCTCCCCAAAGTAACTGTCATATGCCTGAGCTCACCTCATCTTCTTCGTTTGGTGTTCATAAGAGAGTTTAGTGTAGTATTTAAAGACCACAGCATTTCATAATGTTTGTCTACCTGCCGCCTTTTTACACATTTGGCCACACACTAACATCAGTTAAGACAGTGGAGTGGGTCTGATCTGTAAGTTACTATGGGACCAGAAAAGATACAAAATGATTAACTTGGCAGTCATATTTGTGCAAAGGAATTGGAACTCTGTTGGGTGATGTGTGTGTGTGATCACTGTGTCGTTAGATTCACCAAAGGCTGAACTCTATCACTGTGTATGGGGGATCAGCTCTGATTTATCATGTTAACTCCTTAAAGATGATGGGTAACTGTGATAAGCAGAAAGCAAATAAAGTTTTTAATCAAAAGTGCTTGTCTTTGCTATTTCTAATTTGGTATTAAATTTTCTACTTTGAACTAAACCATCTTACCCTAAAAAATTATTTCCAAAATGTATTTCCCCTTCTCTGTGAAGTGGGGCTGGAAAAAGCTAGTTGTAAACAGTTTGGTCATATGTAACACTTATGGTAAAGAAGTGCTCATGATTCTTCCTGACCCAAACTGTCACCAAAATGTCCTGGGACCGAACCCCTCGTTTCTCTGCCGTTCTGCAAACAAGAAGGGTTCTATTTTGTCTGTTTTTACTCCTTGATTTCAAAAATTAACGGTTTTATTGTTGCTTATCCTCAGTTTAAAGTGTAACTTCCACTGATACCTGCAATTAAAAAATAACTTAAAAAACTGTTCTAATCTTGTTGTGTCATTGTTATTATAACTTCACAGTTAGGTGAGGGGAAGCCATCTGCTAGAGCACAAGGAATTAGGTTTTACAGTCATGAAGTCCTGGGTTCAAATCTTCACTCTGAGCAAGTTCCCGAGTACTTCAAAACCTTTTTAATTAAAAAAAAAATAAAAATAAGGACCGGGCTGGAGAGATGGCTCAGTGGTTAAGGCTGCTTTTCCAGCGGTCCTGAGTTCAATTCTCAGCAACCACATGGTAGCTCACAACCATCTATATAATGAGATCTAGTGCCCTCTTCTGGCATGCAGACATACTTGCAGGCAGAGCACTGTATACATAATTAATAAATAAATCCAAAAAGAAAAAAAAAAAAATGGGCCAGTAAGATAGCTCAGCAAATAAGATCCTTGCTGCCAAGCCTGATGACCTGAGTTTGGACCCCTGGGATCCACATGATGGAGGAGGACAGACTCCTAAAAGTAGTCATCTCATCTCATACACCCACCATGACGTTCGCATACCCACACTACTAAATAAATGTAATTTTGAATGTCTGTTTAATTCAGCCTGTCATAGAATTTCATACCTGTAATCCCAGTACTTGAGAGGCAGAGGCAAGATGATCACCCCAAGTTCAAGGCCTGGACTTCGTAGGCAAGAACTTGTCTATAAACAAAATCAATAAATAAATAATTTACTCCAATATGAAAGAATATGATTGAGCACTTGGGCCATTATGTGAGTTCATATCTGGAAAGTATTTCAAAATGCTGAGCATGTGGATAGAGCTTGAGTTTTAAAGCGGTCCCTCCTGCGCACACACTCATATATCTCTCTCTCTCTCTCTCTCTCTCTCTCTCTCTCTCTCTCTTTTCTTTTTTTTTTTTTTGAGACAAGGTTTATTTATGTAGCTCTGGTTGTCCTGAAACTCACTCTGTAGACCAGGCTAGACCCAAACTCACAGAGATCTGCCTGCCTCTATCTCCAAGTGCTGGGATTAAAAGTGTACACCACTTTTTTTTAAATATATAATTTATTTTTATTTTATGTTCATTGGTGTTTTGCCTGTATGTGTGTCTGTGTGAAGGTATCAGAAACCCTGGAACTGGAGTTACAAACAGTTATAAGCTGCCATGTGGGTGCTGGGAATTGAACCTGGGTCCTCTGGAAGAGCAGTCAGTGCTCTTAACTACTGAGCTTAGAAACATGATCAGGAGAGAGAAGAAATTAAAAACAAGGCTAGGTGTTTTTAGCATGTTTTAGCATGCTGAGAACCCTGGGTTCTATCTCCAACAACACAAAATAAATAAATAACAGAATGAGAAGGAAAGAACTTGTGAAAATCCTCACCAGCCCAGGAGTGGATTCCCAGCACAAATCTATACAAGAGAACATCAGACAGACTACGATTTCAGGCCGGGCGGTGGGGGTGCACACCTTTAATCCCAGCACTCAGGAGACAGAGGCAGGCAGATCTCTGTGAGTTTGAAGCCAGCCTGATCTACAGAGCGAGTTCCAGGACAGGCTCCAAAGCTACACAGAGAAACCTTGTCTCAAAAAACCAAAAACAAAGATTTTAGAAACCAGCTCTTGGCCGAACATGGTGGCACTTGCCTTTACACCCTGCCCTCGGGAGGTAGAGGTGTGAGCTTGAGGCCTACCTGGTCTACATAATGAGATGCTGTCTCAGAAAGCCAAAAATAAAAAACAATATAAAAATTCAGATTTTGTTTTATGACAAATGAGATTTAGCAACTTCCCTTACAGCTCCATCAGGGAACTCAGTACTGAGGTAAAAAGGGCTGTCTCCACAGCCCCAGACACTACGAGACATTTCTTTGTATGGACTTAGGGAATTATAGTGACTCAGTGTAGTCATCTCTGAATATGTGCTCCTTGTGCAAGCTTACTTATTACTTTGAAGGTGTCGATGTAAATATTAAATATTTGCCCCTTCAGACAGGCATTGTAGTCTCAGCATTCAGGAGCCTGAGGCAAGAGGATAGCTTGAGCCTGTGTGTTTACACTGTCCTGGGCAAAACAGTGAGACTCCAGCTCAATAAAAAAGAAAACCAAAGTGCTGAGCTGGCCACACCTGTAATCCCAGCACTCATGAGGCTGAGGCCTGAGGCAGGGGAATCATGAGTTTGGATTAGCATGAACTACATAGACACTGTCTAAAACAAACAACAAAAAAGCAAAACCAAGTTTTGGAATGGACAGAACAAATCACCAATAGAGCTCAACTGCTTGAAGAGTCTTCAGTGAGTCTCAGAAACAAGGACGATACTGAATGACACTGGAGTAACATCCAGGGTGGGGCTGGGGTCTCTTGGGGAGGAGAGTCAGAGTCGTTTTACCATTTCCATGTTTCACCATTTTGATCATTTGACAGTTTCTCTTGGCTGCTGGTACTTAGATGCCTTGCAGATGCTTTGAGGAAATTAACTTCATCCATCAGTGAACAAAGCTGGGCACAGCAGCGCATGTCTGTAGTCAGCTGGGTGGGGGACCTGTGGCAGACCAGCCCAGGCCATATAGTGAGACTCCACCCCTCCTTTAAATAACTGACCTGGAAACCTAGACTTATAGAACAAAAAGTAAGGAATACACTTGATGATATAAGCAAAGGTAAGGACTTTCTGAAAAGGACTCCAGTCACCCAGGTAATGGACAGACAACAAGTGGGACTGCTGTGGCATAATCCTTCTGTACACTGTGAATATGTATTACTCTCACTGGTGAATAAAGAAGCTGATTGGCCTATAGCAAGGCAGGATAAAGTTAGGCAAGACAATCAAACTGAGGATAAAGAAGGACGGAGTGAGAGAGTCAAGATGGACACTCTGTACTGAGAAAAGGTACCAAGCCACAGGGCAAAGCATAGATAAAAAATATGGGTTAACTTAAGTGTAAGAGTTAGCTAGTAACAAGCCTGAGCTATTGACCACACATTTGTAATTGAGTCTCTGTGTGTAGGTTATTTGGAAAGTGGCCATGGCATAGGAAAACTCCACCTCCATGGGACTTCAAGAAATTAAAAACCTGTGTCACAAATAGGAAAATTAATCAACTGAAAAGACAGCCTACAAAATGGGGGGAAATGTTTGGAGCTATACATCTGAAAGGAGATTAGTGTCTAAAATATACAAAGAACTCAAAAAGCTAAACATTAAGAAAACAACCCAATTAAAAAATGCACTATGGGGGCCAGAGAGATATTTCAGAAGTTAAGAATATGTACTGAATAATATATATATATATATATATTGCAAAAGACCAGAGTTCAGTTCCCAGCATCCATATCAGGCAGCTTGCAACTGTCTATAACTCCGACTCCAGGGGATCTATGGTGGCTTGAATGAGAATGGCTCCCATCTCATATATTTGGATGCTGAGTCTCCACTTGGTAGGACACTTTGGGAAGGATTAAGAGGTGTAGCCTTGTTAGAGGAGGTGTGTCACTGCGGGGTGGACTTCCAGGCCCAGTCTCTCTCTCCATCTCCCTCATCTCCCTTGTCTCCCTCCCTCCCTCCCCCCTGCAGATCGATATGTAGCTCTCAGCTACTTCTCCAGCACAATGCCTGCTTGCATGCATGCATGCATGCATGCCACCACATTCCCAGATGATGATAATGGACTAACTGTTGGTTTTAACGCAGAGGTGCAATGTTATTCATTAAGCCACGAGGTATGACAAAACCCAGTATAAGAGTTTTATTAGGGGTTTTGGGATTTAGCTCAGTGGCAGAGTGCTTGCCTAGCAAGCGCAAGGCCCTGGGTTCGGTCCTCAGCTCTGGAAAAAAAAGGAAAAAAAAAAAGAGTTTTATTAGAAGGGAGGGACAGGAAAGAATGTGACCAGGCTTGTGGAAGACATGGGGGGGAGGGGTCTGTGACCCACTTCTTATGGATTCCCCTGCACATGCACATATGCCACGCATGAGCATAGATAGCGTGATCACACTGCGTGCAAACTACGTGATCACGCAGTGCACGGATTACATAAGAGTAAGGTCTGCTGTGGGATGGTCTGTATGTCAAGTGTGTTGCTGATTGGTCAATAAATAAATCACTGATTGGCCAGTGGCCAGGCAGGAAGTATAGGCAGGACAAGGAGGAGAATAAAGCTGGGAAGTGGAAGGCTGAGTCAGAGAGACACTGCCAGCTGCCATGATGAGAAACAGCATGTGAAGATGCCGGTAAGCCACGAGCCATGTGGCAAGGTATAGATTAATGGAAATAGATTCATTTAAGCTGTAAGAAAAGTTAGCAAGAAGCCTGCCATGGCCATACAGTTTGTAAGCAATATAAGTCTCTGTGTTTACTTGGTTGGGTCTGACGGCTGTGGGACTGGCAGGTGATAGAGATTTGTCCTGACTGTGGGCCAGGCAGGAAAACTCTAGCTACAAAGGTCCCTTGCTTGGCTACTGGACTGTGGTCATGTAGCTGGGGGAGTGGCCAGGAATTCCAACACTAACCCTCTATAAGTTGCCTTGGTCATGGTATCTCTGTCACTCTAAGACAGGATCCAGCACTCTCTCTAGCCTCTGAGGGCATCTGCACTCACATGTACACATAGATACACACAATTAAAAATCAAATCTCTTTTATTAAGTGGGCTATGGAACCAAACAGTTTTAAAAGAAGAAATACCAATGGCTAAGAAATATTTTAACACATGTTCGCTGTTCTTGGTCATTGGGAAAATGCAAATTAAAATTGCTTTGAGATCTCACCCAACCCCAGCCAGAATGGCTAAGATTACGAAAACAAAAGACAGCAAATTCCAGTGAGGATGTGGGAAACAAGGAACTCTCATACACTGTTAGTGAGAGTGTAAACTGGTGTAGTCACTATGAAAATTAGTGTGACAGTTCCTCAGAAAACTAAAAATAGATCTACCGTTTGACTCAGCTGTGCCTCTGCTGGGTATATACCTAAAGGACCCTGTAGCCTGGTTCATATACGAATCCATCCATGTTCATCACTGCTTTATTCCCAGTA